GTTGTTTTTTTTTAACAGTTACTGGCATCCAAAATGAAATTAAAAGCTAGTTGTGACTGAAACTTGCTCAGTGCTATGAGTGCGACTCCGGAGTGCACAGAAAGGCTGCAGATAGCTTTTTTTTTTTTTTTGTGCTAATTTTCATTTTGCTTGTCCTTTAGGCCATGTATATCTATTCTTGGTAAGGTAAGTTTTAATTAGTTTTTATGTTTTCTGCATATGAGGAGAGCATGCGTGTTGATTATAAGTAAATTAAAATTGCTCCAAAAGGATGTCAAGGAATTACAGTGTAGTACAGTTCCAGAGATGGCCATAAGATTTTTTTTCCTATTATTTTTGACTTAAGGTTGATGACAGTTTTTGGGTTTTTTTTGAAGAGAAAGAAATCTGAATAAAAATACATACGAATGTTTCTTCAATGCCTTCTTTGGGCCTTGACTGTATTTCTGTAAGCTGAGCAGTTAAATGAAAAGTCAGGATCAAAATTTCACATCTTTTTCCACCCTCTGGTATGTATTTGCTGTCAGTGAAACGTTTTAGGCAGCATTATATGTTATAATGCAACTTTTTTCTTCCTTCAAAGGTGGTGAAAAAGAAAATACCAAGATGAGTAAAAAGCCTCCAAATCGTCCTGGAATCACATTTGAGATTGGTGCTCGTTTGGAAGCACTGGACTATTTACAAAAATGGTATGGAAGACATTTTGCATTTACTGAGAGCATAATTATTTTGTGTACATTGTGTGTTTTGATATCTGATTATATAATTTAGTACACCTATTAATTGACTGTTTCACATGTGAACTTTATGAGTTTCCAACAAAGTCCATTAAAACTGCACACTTTTAGGAAAAAGTACTCTCTCTTCAGAAATCAAACTAAACTTTTCTGTCGGTTTTTGTTTGTTTGCTTTTGGTTGCTTGTGTATCTGTAGTAAGCAAAGAGCATTTCTGGAGTAGTGTGGAATGCAGTGTCATGGCTGAGGTGGTTGGTAAGTCAGCGTGGCAAACCCCCGTGACCAAAGGCTTCTTTTGTTTTCATTTGAGGCATGGAAGGGGATTTCTTCTGTATTTAGTTATCACACTTCATAGGTTCACAAAACTAATTTTAAAAAAAAAGAAAACATCCTTAGTTGGAGTGCATGGGATAGGCAGGTGTAGTTGTGTTTGGATCAAACAGCTGGAAGAATGAAGCGCTTAAAACTGACTCTGCAACCACCCAGGCATGTTGTGGGTTCAAAGGCTATAAAATCAAAATTGTGGGCACAAGGACCATGCTGCACAGCATGTGTGTTGTGAAAGGAGCTGTTCTTATGAAATAAATTGTTAGTCAAAATTTTATTAAAGCAAGTGGACTAATTTGATGATGTGTGCTGGCCATGCTAGTTCCGTTTGAAAAATCCCTGGTTTTGTTAAAGCAGATGATGGAAGAAATTGGTGCTACCCAGAATTTTTTTCTCAGCTACTTTCTGATTTATTAGGGCTAGGAAACGTAGAGGTGTGTACCTGCTTTTCTGCTGCATTCCTGGTGAGCTCAGCATGCTCCTGTAAATATCTGGTCCTTTAACTCCAATTGAAGTGAGAGAGAGGTCTGTGTATTATTGACATGTTTGCTCCAGTAGTTACATGCTCTGTATAAAAAGTTGGGTCAAACCTTTTATCTGTAGAACTTTGATTTTAATTATAGCAAAATTGTTTGTTTTAATCAATGGTCTCTAAAAGAATTGATTTACAGAACAGTTCTTTTTCTTACCTGTTGCTGTAGAGTGGGCTTTCAACATACTGATTCTATAACTGAATGCCAGGATAACAAAAACATCCAAATAGCGCTAACAAAATAATTTTAATACAACTTTTTATAACATCTGTGACAAGAGATAATTGGTTAATATAACTAGGTAACAAAAATTAATATGTAAAAATAGCTTCAGCTTAATTGTATCAAAAAATTATCACTGAATATCCAGTGTATAGTTTGTTTGAGATATACCCACTGTTTTCACAGGGGAGGGTTGCATGTGAACTCTGGAGTTCTTGTCTAGGTTTGGGTTGTCAGGGCCATGTCACAAGCTCTGCAGCTGAGTTCCTGGGTGTTTTCAGGAAGAACAGAATTTATCCTGAACTTTCTAGGAATTTATTCATCATCTGTACCACTGGGTAGAACAGGTCAAGTCTTATATGCATGTAAACTTTGGTGGTGCCATATACAGGAGGAGAAATGTAATAATGGAAATTTTGCAGTTGCAGCAAGACTGAAAGCAGAACTCTGTTTCAAATGAACTAATATTCACATACAGAACCAAACAGCTTGTGACAGAAAGTCTCCTGTCGTGTTATTATTAGGGTGACATGGGTTGCAATAATACTCCATGTGATTTTTTTCTTAGCTTTCTGTTGCATAAGGGGGTGGTGGATGTTTTTTAAATTCTTTCTATATATAATCTGAATGCATTCCCTTGATTTGCATGCATAAATACAGACTTCAAAGAAAATAAAGTTGCTGAACTTACATGAAATCTCTTTATATTTTTTAACAAAAGCTAAATTGAAGAGCAGTGATATTGCTTAGCTCAGTTTTTCTGCAAGTGACAAATTGAGAGCACTTGCTGAAAAATAGCCTTTTAAAGGGTTTTATTTTTTTCCCTCCATTTTTCTGAAAGCTTGCTGTCATTTAAAGATCCACTGCTCATGACCAGTTAAAATGTTAATCAAGAAAGGCTTCTAGAGGATGTGAGAAAAAAATATAGTAAAGTATGTTTTTGCTTTCTGAGGCACTTTTACAGGTCTGAAATTTTCAGCTCTGTAATAGTTGCTGAAATTCATCTCATGGAATCTGGTGTTCTATTTATGATCTGTAAACTTTGGAGAGGCCATTGTGTACTTTGACTATTTATTGCTTAAAAGCTCCGTAGTTTTAAATGAAGTTCTTGTGGAGAGTGTTTGGGTCACTGGTATCATTTGTCATGTACCATGACAGTAAAAGAAAGCCTGGTCAAACTGGTCAGCAAAGACAGGCTGTCAGTGGGTGTGTTTATTTTTGCTTTATTGTGGAGGTAACTGCAATTGCAGCTTTATCAAGTGCAGCAGTTGTGCTGTTGCAGGGCATTGTCTTACATAATGAATTTGGACCACTTGTTACATTTAAATTCACTAAAGCAAACTATGAAATGCAGCTCTAATCAAAATCGATGTGATCATCTGTCAGCATATAGTAAATGGGATGTGATTGAAAATGATGAAATAGAAAATTATTAAGTATACAAGATGATCAGGGGCCTGGATTGTAAGACCTGTGAAGAGAGAGTGAAGAAACTGGACTTGTTTAGTTTGGAGAAGGCTTCAGGAGTCCCATGTCAGCCTTCCAATACCTACAAGGCTGTAATCAAGAAGATTTACTTGGCCAATCTGTACAGGTAGTTAGAGGGTAAGAGACAACAGGCATAAGTTGAAATGAGAGATTTAGGCTGGGTTCAAGGAGAATCTCTTCCCATGGGACAGTCATCAGGTTGCCTGAAGAGTTTCTGGAGTTTCCAGCATTGGAGGTTTTCCAAGACTGGGATGGATAAAGCACAGGAAAACCTGACCTGACCCCATAGCTGACCCTGCTTTGAGAGGGAGGTTGGTCTAGAGGCTTTCTGAGGTCTCTTTCAACTTGAATTATCCTGTGATCTCATACACAAGCTGATAAATGTGCACACCCCCCTGCCTCTCACTGAGGAAACAAATGAAACAGCAGTAAGGCTGCACATACCTGCAAATGCATGTCTGTGTGTAAGACAGTTCTTAACCTGTCAGCTCTCACAAATAGGACACTGGCCCTGCAAAGCTGATGTATTTAAAGATGCATCTCGTGTTTTTTTTCTGTCTTTGTGTGTCTTTATGGGACTGGTTGTCCCATAAGCTGCAGATACTGCTTTGAAGAAAACAACCCTGTTGTATTTCTGAGACCATAGTTCTTTATTAATTTGCTTGATCTAAACTCTGAGGTAACGAGAGAAGTACAGATACATGGCCCTTGTTGTTCTGAAATGGAAGCAGGTCACTAAAATAGGTTAGTTGGTGTATTTGATTATTTGGATGGATTTTTTTTTTCCCCTGTACGAAAGAAGCCTTCTCCCTGTAAGTCTTTGGGAAATCTTGCTTGGGACAATCCTTGCTTTAGATTTCAGTTCACTGGTTTATGTGACAGGTATTTGAAAGGGTGGTGAAGACTCTGCTTCATATTGGTTGAATAAAATATATATATGTAAAAACTAGAAGACCTAGAAATATGTGTTTGCAGATTTTGCAGATAGCAGAACAATATTTGTGAGAAGTCAGGATGGAGGGTATTTGGTTTTATATCCTCTACGAGGTAGAAGGAAACAGTTTTTGTATCAGAATTGTGAAGGCAAGAACTGTGTCTGTGGACTTGGTAGGTACAAACTTGGGCAAATTTACTAATGTTCTTGCATCCTTTTTTACAGTTTGAAATGCCTGTTGTCCCATTTCACGGGGCAATTCACCACTTTTTCATCACTTTTGACGGGTTAAAGGGAAGACGATGTAAAAATGAAAAAAGTAGCTGTTACTGTGTGTTGAGTGCATTGGATAAAATAGTTTGGGTTTAGGTTTTTTTTTTTTATACTGTCAAGAAATGAAAATGGGAAGTTTTCAATGAATTTTTCTTGTATGAATGTTAGAACACTATCATTGTCTGACCAGTACTTCATAGTGTAAGTTTTGTAAGCCATATTAAATTCTGAAGCTTTCTAAAGAATTGCATAAGTGTAATGGGTTGGAATCACTGGGATTGGAACCTGCCAATGGAGAGCATGCAGTATGTAAATTGGGTAGATACCATCAACTAACAACAATTCTCCTGTTCTCTCTTTAAAAAACAAGAACAAACACCCCTGAAATTTGGATGAAACTTCATTTGTGATTAGTAGATACTCTTTCTAGCATCCTGTTAAAAAAACACACCCCAAATTTTCAGGTTATTGTTTCTTCCCGCAAAAAGAACACTTTGATTATTGAATTTCAGTGGGCTGGTCTGTTTGGTTTTCTTGGTTTACACTGATTAAATGTTGACAAAGCTGTTTGTATATTAGTTTCATTCTGATCACTTAGCGTGCAGTACTTGCTGGGGGAATTAACCTGACTGGAAGGTTGTTTTGGCCTTGGACATCTTTATGATTTGGTACTGTTTGTATCCTACTTTGTAGCACTTCTTCAGATGTAACTTCGTAATTTGCAATGTGTACGAGATTTAAGCATCTTCATATTAATCTTTTTAATTTATAAAATTGATTATTTTCAGTAGAAGTACAAAAACACCAGAAAGATGTTTCTGTGTAAAATTTGCAGTAGTAAATTCTGCAATATGTATGTTCTGCTCTTTTCCACTGTCAGATCAGTATTGTGAAATATTACTGTTTGTACATATTTTGGTACATTGTGTGTCTAATTTTAGTAGATACTGAGGGTAATAGCTTGTTGCTAAATCCATACAAAGTTGTGTTTGGGTTGCCTAATAACCAATCACACATGGCTTGGGTGGTTCCATCTCTGGGGACTGAAGTTGAATGCAGGTTTTGTCTATTCATCTTGCAACCACTCTCTTAAGATACATTGGAGAAACATAAATTATAAAAAATTTTGATTGCAGAAATGGTTTTTATCAAAGGGAAACTAACTGATAAGTACCTTGTGCTGCATTTCGTCTCTGGAGTGATCTCTAATGAGGCTTAATATTTTTCACATCTTCTTTCATTAACTCATGCTAGCTTTGCTCTTTTTTGCTCTTTTTATTTTCTGTATATATTAATTTCTTGATTCTTGGCTTGCTGAATTTTTGTTTAACACTACCTTAATTTTAAAATATTTGTCTCTAAACTCTACTCTGTATTTTAGTTCCCCCTCTTACTTGGTTTTCTTTTTCCAGGACTTTGTACTGTAATTTCCTGGTTTGTCCCTTCTGTTGTCTTCTCACGCAGTGCTTGGAATGGTGACTTGGCTGCTGCTGACCAGGGAAAGCTCCCGGCCATAACAAGGAAACTGCTGTAGGGAAGCACCATAACGGGAACAAAGTGTTTGCATTGGAGATGTGTAGGAAAAGCAGAATTTTGTCTTTCAGCTGATTTTTGTGTAATAACCATAGTTTTGCATCACTAGGTGTCTGGCATCTGATAAACCTAATATTTCTAACTGTGCTGAGAAAGTATCATTCCTGGCTTCCATTTCACTGCTGTAACACAAGCTCTCCTTTTTGTTGGCTACAAAGTTGACTTCCCATCCTCTTGCTTTTCTGGTGTTTTTCCTTCCCTCTGATAAATGCTTTCTGTATCATCCTTTTGGTAGCATTGTTACTCACAGGTTTGCTCTAGGAACAGTAACTTTTCTTTTTGCTCTGCTTTATTCCTCTTCCTGCTTATTCTGAGACTTGGTGTCTAGTTGTAAAAAGTCTGAAACTGGAAGACTTGGGAAGATGAGAAAAAATAGTAAGGAATTTTATAATAAAATTCCTAAATGTAGCAGCATATGGTTGTTCAAAGTTAAACCAGAATGCTGCTGCTGGAATTCAGGTTTGACCTATGAGTTTTACTTTCTGCTTTGATGCAGCTGATCATCATCTTCACCATTCTCATTAGAGTGTTGTCAGTCCGCTTGAGAGGGGAAAGGGGGGTTGACCTTGTTGTTTCTCTGAAAGAAGACCCATGAAGTGTCTTGAAAAGGATTTTGTTAGTAGAGTTGCAAATGAGAGTCTACAGTTTTAGACTAAGACTTTGTGGGGTTTTTTTTGAAGTGCAGTGAGGAGAAGTTGGGAACTTAGAAGAACAGCTATGCAAATATTTTGCGTTTCTGAAACGTATGGATGAGAGAAATGCAACAACAACTTGGACTGTCTGTGAATTCTGATGTGAGGGTGATATGTGGCTGAAGGAGTAACTAGAAAATAATTTTTTTGTAATCAACGACTCCTGAAATATTTAACTGTTGGGAAGCTGTGTACATCCCTGCAGTTAAGAAGTAGGACTGGAGAAAGGAAGGAAGAAATTGGGATTGATACCTTTTTGTTTTAATGCTTAGTTCTAGTCACTAGGAAATAAGGAAATCTTGTGCTTCTTGAAAACTTATATTTTAATCAGAACATAGTGTTAGAGACTGCTTTAACAGCACAGTCAGTATTTTGGAGAGAAAGTATTCAAAATTGATGGTGTTGACAGGGTTCCTGTGTAGTTGCTTTTCTAGCTGATGGAATTTGCAGTAGGGCTGGGAATTGGTCCCTCAAGCTCTGCTCTCTTACTATTGCTCCACAGTAGCACTTGGTTAGAAAAACACGTTGCAAAAGTTAAAGGCAGCTGTCCTTGGCTGTGGTCTTTCTTTTCAATACATGCTTTGTTAACTTCAGATCATCCCTAGTATAAACTCTGGTAAAAAAATTAATGATCTAATTAACTTTTTTTTTTTTTTTGAGAGATTCTTTGCACTGTTGAATCTGTTTCAGTACTTCTGTGAAGGGCAAGAAGGAACTGAATTCTGCCTCATTCCCATTTTCACTGATGTATATCAGCTCTTGAACTAAATCGTACAAATTTAGTAACTTAATTTTTTTCAGACTTGGAGAGTTCTCAGTACAAGGTGTTTATTACAACTTTCTGAATGGTTGTGTAAGCACTGTTGTATCTAAAACAAGAAACAAACTTTTGAGCTTTACCAGTCTATGTTTATCATTCAAGGTATCCATCTCGTATTGAGAAGATAGATTATGAAGAGGGGAAGATGTTGGTCCATTTTGAACGCTGGAGTCATCGCTACGATGAGTGGATTTACTGGGACAGCAATAGATTGCGACCTTTGGAGCGACCAGCATTAAGGAAAGAGGGCCTAAAAGATGATGAAGAATTTGTTGTAAGTGGCACATTTATTTTGTCTTAGACTTTTGCTAACTGTCTTGCTTGTTTTCCTACATTAAATCTCTCTAGCACATAATGTTTAACTCATTTTAGGGGGAAAAAAATCTAAATTATTTAAATATTAATGAATAAATTTGTATAAAATAGGATTTTAAACCTGGAGAGGAAGTCCTAGCTCGTTGGACAGACTGTCGATATTACCCTGCAAAGATCGAAGCCATTAATAAAGAAGGTATGTATGCATGTAAGGTCCATAGGTAAGGTCTGTTTGCATATGTTATGCTGTAGATTTAGTCTACTTAAAAAAGAGATATACCTATAAAGTTTTCCTCACTGCCTCAATATTAAGTGAATTTGTTTCTGTTTATCAAATTTAGTATTAGGTTTGTATTTTATCTGTACGAAATCAGAAAATTGGAATTTCTCCTAGAAGACAAAATGCTTAGTGTTTTTAATCAGTGATCAGAAGATCCAGTGCACAGTCTTAGGAATATTTCATCCTATTGTTGATTTGTGTTAATGATATATTTAAATTTTTGTGATTGTTTTAGTCTGCTTATTGAAGAAAAACAATAGAAATGGGGAAATAAAGGAACACCTTAGATGAAATACTTCACAGTGGTGGTAGTTCTAATGAACATAAGTAGAAGTTGAAGTTTTTACTGTAGTGTAAAGCAAATGAGGATTTGATTGTAAGTTGAATTGTTTCTCTAGTGCGACACCTTAAATATGACATAATTCTTGCAATGAATTATGAGCAAAAGTGACTCAATAGCTTAAACATGCTTGAAATTGTTCAACTGGACAAAGAGCAACAATATTAAAGCAGGATTTTATTGAGGCTGTAATTTTTTTTTTCCTTAAAATTCTGAATCCCAACTGTCTGTAACATCTTGTTACTCCCTTCATACAACATACAAAACATTTTGCTAAAGCTTTCATGGTAACAAGATGTGTTTGCTTCTTAAGTACTCATAATGATTGCATCAATCATTTTCTAGGAACGTTCACAGTACAGTTCTATGATGGTGTCATTCGATGTCTTAAAAGGATGCATATCAAATCTATGCCAGAGGATGCAAAAGGGCAGGTAAGAATACTTTAGGTATTGCTGTGTTAGGTTTTATGTAGTTATTTGGTTTTTTGTTGGTTTGGTTTTTTTTGTTTTTAATATCTTGAGATAGTAAAAGTGTCATGTAGCACAACTGGTTTTTAGGTTACAGTCTTTATTCTAGGTCCTGCACTGCCTTGCTTCACCAGTTTATGGATGCTGCCTCAGAGTGTGCTGCTCCAGTGGCCTTGCCTCTCTCTGAAATGCCTGGCTGCTGGACACTCCATTGCCAACTAATCTGTTCCCAGAGTCTTGTCTTGCAGAGTTGACAAAACCAGGGGCATCCAGTGACTTTTCCCTTGGATGTCCTTCAGGAAAAAGCTTTAGTTTGTCAGCAGTCTGTGCTGCTCATTTTTTTGTTTAGTTTTATTTATTCCCCACCCTCTACTCCATTTCTTATTTTGCTACTGTGATACCTTTTGCCCATGTGTTCTTATTAACATGACTGGAGGTTTTCTCCCTGATGTCAGAACTTTTGGGCATTTGGACAGATAAGTGTTTCTTATCTTTTATAATGTCCAGCTGCTGTTAGTTAAAGACAAGATGCTGAATGGAAGTTGAGGGAGACTGTGAAGTAGAGGACATGATTTAGTCTCTAGGCATAGCTTTACTTTAAATTGGTTCCTGAAGGAGATTAAACTGAAATCCATAGTCATGTTAACCCTGGTTTCTTGCTGCAGTCTTACAGTAACTCTGTTGAACCTATGTGTAGTATTTCAAAGAATATTCTCAGTATGACAGTAAATTAGGAAACTACAGTGTTCCATTTCATTTTTTAAAAGGCAAAACTTGGGTAATGTGATTGTGACTGAAATAAAATAACCCTTTTGTGACAGTGTAAAGAAGTTCACGACTCTGTCCTGTGATTTTCTAGGAAGCAATGTTGTATCTAATCTTGAGTTACTACTCTTAGGCCACAGGCATTTTCAGCTTTAAAAAGAAAGAGTAAATCCATTTCTCCACAACCATTATGTTGTCCAGATGTGCTTGGTGGCAGTCCAGCTCATCTATTATTTCTAATTTCTCTCAGTAGTTGAGCGTTATGGTGCCACTCATGCATCTCAGGGGCTGAATGTAGGCTGCTTCAATGAAATCTTGAGAAAGAATGAGGGGGACAAATTTACACTTTCTAAGATGGATTTAGAATTTTTAAGTTGTCTTGAAGCAAGAACACCACCAATTGTGCTTTCTGTAATGCTAATTGATACTAGTTGTAGCATTTAATCTTGCAGAAGTAGAAATAAGCGTGAAGATCTTTAGCTTTCGAAGACAAAGATAAAATTTTTCTTACAACATTTCTCCTAAATCATGCTATGGTAAAATGCTTGTTTTTCTGAATATTTTTGTGTTATTTCAGAATGAAAACATGATCTACAATTTGGTTTGGAAATCAATTTTCTGAAACTGAGCTTTGTCTAAGTCTAAAATGCAAATAAATGGATGTTTTTACTCTTTTGCATTACTGATTTTTATAAGAAAACACTTAATAAAATTTATGTAAAGCTTAAAAAAAATGCCAAGACAATAAATTGATTTGAAAACTAGTGGAGTTATCAGATCCAATGCTTCATGCATAATTTAAACCTATAACTTGGTTTTTGTCTGTTTCCAAAGCAAAAAATAATACTTTTTAAGAGATCAGTGTAAGCTTAAGATCCTTCCAGTTCTAGTGCATCAGCAAATCTAACAAATACAAGATCTTTTTGGAAGGTGTGTGCTAAGCATGCAGAATTTGAATTACATGGAGAGAGAGACAGATTAGTTAATACTTTGATTTCAGCTTGGTGTGACTTGAAGGAAGAGATTGTAAACACTATAACACAAAAACTGTTTTTGAGTTGCAGCATAAGTGTGTTATAATAAGACTCAGCTGTGAGGGTGGAAAGGGAAAATTTTTAAAGAGTGGAAAATATTTGTGTGTCTCAGTGCAATGAGACTCGAGGATCAGTTGCTGTGCAGATAAGAACAAATTAATAGAAATCACACAGATATGTGGCTTACGGAGTACAGAGAGGAAAAAAGGGGGATATTGAGACTGCCCTTGTGAGAGCACATATGAAGTATTTGGATAACTTACTTTTTCTGTTTCATGTTTTTTGTTTTATCTTCGATGTAATCAGGCGCGCGAGAGGGAGCAGATAGCGCCGGAGCTGAGATTAGTGACGGAAATCGAACCAAAAGAAGTGAGTTTTGAGGAGGGATTTGAAGGAGAGGGAGGGGACTTGACACACAGGAAGAGGAAGCTGAGGAAAAAGCATGGATTTGCCAATGGGCCAGAGGAAAAAAGAAGATATGACAGGAGACAATGTGAGCCAAGATGTAGGTGGGGCAGACTGTTTAGAATTGAAAGGTGAGGGTAAGGAATCCAGGCTTGATGTGGAATCAGCCAGTCGATAGATTGATGTTTTATGTATGTGTATGTATGAATGTGTGGGAGTTGTGGTGTGCCAGGAGAGGAAAAACAGCTGTATCTTTAGTACTGTAGAGAAGCAAAAAGGTGATGGTTTTAGGCAGATGAAGGGAGACCGATGTGTGTGTGAATTCTGCTATTGATGCAAGGGTTGGATTTAGAAATTATTCTGGTTTTGCCTTCCAACTGTTGCAGGATTAAGGTCACACAGAGGACTATTTTAAAATACAAGTGTTTCAGCCAATTGATGTGTAAGGCTGTTTGGTAATTTCTACTGGTGTAGTTCTTGATCGTGCAATTTCCTGTGTTTTGATTTAGTGAATCTGATTAGCATAATGACAGTTTTTCTCAGCAGTGATAATGTTTTGTTTTCTAACTACTGTGTCTCATTACTTTTCTACTGTCAATTTTCTTAGCTTACTTGAAGGATGAATTTTAGTAAGAATAAAAAAGAAGGAAATACACATTTTTTTTTTTTTTTTAAGTTGTATATGTAAATGAGAAACTCACTGGAGTGAGATACTGTGGGAAGTGGGAAATCAGGCTGAATGGTGCAGAGTAACCGGTGCAGACTTACACAACTACAGCCAATAGAGAGGCAATACCAGGACACGAGGGAAAAATAGGGAAAACTTCTCTTAGGAGGTTTTTGATTTTACTTTATTAATTTGTAATGTGTTCATATTTGGGCCCTTGGCTTTGTGTATACTGAATGATCTGGGAAAATGTCCTGCTATTGAAGAGTTGTAACTAGTTTCTGTGATATCTGTGGTATTTACTGTCCTGCTCTTATGGTTGTCAGGGTAGATACCTTACTATTACCCTGAGACAAAGTTCATATTTTATTGTGCTTTAGGCTCCCACTGTTACTTGCAAATTTTTTTGTTAATTTTTTCTAAAAATTCTGAAAAACACACAAATGGATCTTTTTGAAGGAGTTCCTATGCTCTTCAAAAGAAATATAATTGCCTCGGCATCTTAGATGCTAAATAGTTGTTGCACATCAGGAGCTGTGCTGCTGAACAGTCACTGAGCAGGAGGTCAAGGTTAAAAAGCAGGAATTACCTGTGTCACTTTAATGCCTATTTGTTTTCTCCAGAGCCAGAATAAAAATGGACCCACAGAGTTTCTGACCAAGTCAGAATCACAAAATTGTTTGTTGGAGTGACCACTTGACATTATCTTATCCCCCACCACTGCTCAAAGTTCTCTTCACTGAGTTTAAATTTACATGTTAATCTAGGAAAAAAGTATAACTGTCACCGTAATTACTGTGTCTCTGCTCTGGCTTCTGAATGCTTAACCTTTATTTGCTTCATTGTTATGTGTCCTGCTGCCCTTTGTAAGCTCCGTGTTTTAAGAACAGTATCCAAACAATGAAATTAAGTACAAAGAAAAACCCCTTTGTGTTGCACCAAAACAGCTGCTGGTAGAACAGGATACTTGGTTCAGCTTGGTCCTTGAAGCCTGGTATCTTCTTGAAAGCTTTTGATTCAGGGTGCTTAGCTTGACTGAAAATTAGAATGCCCTTTAGAAGCTATTTTGACACAGGCTTTCCTTCCCGTTTTTATCAAAAGATCCAAGCTCCAGCCATGTTACTGATCCTCTTCATCCGTTGGCCAGGGTACAGTGTAAGACTTCTACTCTCAGGTCTCCTAATTCCTCGCCGCCATAAATAGCTCAATCTGTTTTTTGTCCTGCTGGATGGGCAAGGCTCTGGATGGACTGGAGCTAATGTGTGTGCTTGTTTTGGCTGGCCAAAAAAGAGATATATGCGCTTTTGATTGACTGCAGCTGGCACTTAGACACGCTCGTTGGTGCTGGCTCATCACCAAATGGCCTCGGTAGTTGCCTGTTGTGTGAACATTGCCAAAGTGCTTCCAAACTTTGCTGCTGGCTAATCTGAGTGTGTGCAACTGCACTGACAGTGTGGACATGGAACACTTTATCTTAGAGGAATCAAAACTGTTGGTGTTTCTAAGTACATCGCTTGATGCAAAGTAGAAGCATAACCCATGTAAAGCAGTTATTTAAAAGTATTGAGCTGTGGAAAAGGAAAAGCATGATACAAGAAGTAGTGCTCTGTATTTGTGTTATGCTTTTCTCATACATCAACGAAGGTAAAGAAACTCTCAGTAGAACAGAAACTTGCAAGGCTTATAATATGTAATGAGTGGGAAAAGTTGCATTGAAACAAGATTTGTGAAATCAAGCTACTTAAGGTATCTCATGGTGACATAACAACAAAGAAATACTCCAGAATAAAACAAAGTCTGTCTACAACTAGGGGGGGGGGAATTACTATTTGTAAACCACTCTTATAACTAGACAAAAAATAATCTTTTTCATACTTATTTTGTGTGTGGTAGTACTTGTGTAGCCAGACCACCATTTAGTAAATGAATTATCATTCAGAACACTCAGATACTTAATTCTGCCTGGTGGATCATTGACTGCTATTGCCTTTTATATCGCATATAACTTCTGCATGGAAAAAATCTGTACCTTGATGTTACAGAGAATTAAAAAAAATACTTCAGTCAAAAGGATCAAGTTACAGTTTTTGCAGTCAGGAGACATAAGGCAGGAATCTGATTGCTCCAAACTAGTGGAAACAGCTTGTCTCAGCCTTGGAAGTGTTTAGTTCTCTCTGTTGATATAGGGTGGCTTGACTTGGTCTAAATGCTAAAAATTTGAGATCTAAGTTGTTGTCTCTGTATGGTCAAAATAAGCCATTATCAAAAATGTCTTTTTTATTGCTATAAGTATGGATTGTGAAATTATATTATAGAGCACTTTATTGAAATTACTGGATGAAACCTATAATATGTAATACAAAAAGAATAAAAGAGTGCAATCTGTAGTTACTCTAGAAACACAGGTATAATTAGATAGGAATTATCCCTGCTTTATCAATTTAATTCAGGAAGAACTCTGCCCAATTATGCAGCTGGACCAGGCTTTGAGGTGGTTGTAGCTTTGCATAATAGTTCAACAGTTATGGAATTGTGTATTTCAGAGCCAGAAGGGTAAGAAAAATGCCAGTGTTCTGGGTTTGGGAGCTCCTGGGTTTGTAAAGCAATGACACAAAAAGTAGGTAACAGGGAATGTGTACAGTCATAATTCTATACACAGTGGGGTTTTTTAAGTTTTGGTTTTGTTTTTATTCTTGTGGCATTCTGATAGTTCTTCAAGTTTATTAAGGCTGTTTGGGAAACTCATTTTACCAGTCTTTGAGTAGTAACCGTAAAAATAAATTGAACTGCTCTTGAACATTTCTAAATGAAGTTTCACTGGGGTTTAAGAGTATTTTCTGTTTGAGTCTCAAGCACTCTTTAATACTTACTTACCATTTTTTCCTTTTTGGAGGATTGGATAGCTTTGGTCAAAGCTGCTGCAGCAGCAGCAGCCAAGAACAAAGCAGGAAGTAAACCCAGAACCAGCGCAAACAGCAATAAGGATAAAGAGGACAGAAAATGGCTAAAAGTCCCTTCAAAAAAGGAAGAAACCTCAACCTCTACAATCATGCAGGATGTCCAGAAAAAGGAAGAGGAGCCTACATCTAGTGAAACATTTGGTAAAAACACATTCTATAAAAGACAAAATTGGTTTTCCTGTACTGTTGAATTAGAATTCCTGTTGTTAATTTTGCAATTAAGTAATAACTAATATTTCTAGAGGAAGGTGTCTCATTTGCTATTATGATAACTTTGTGATATATAATGGTAATCGGTTCAGAAACCATTTTATCAGATAAATCTAGTTCAGTCAGCACTCTCTGTGCAAAACTTCTGACTAGCTTTATCAAGAGCAGAACATTGGTTTTTCTCAATTACTTCATTGTACACTTCAGTTCATATTCCTGCATCTTCTGTTACCTGTGAGATAATCCTTGATATTGTTCTAAGAAAAAAAAAAATTCCAATATGCAAGATATATCCATGTTCATGGATGTTTGAAACTGTTTCTGGTTCCATATGAATTTGCTCATTTTTATAGTCTTTAATGCTGAATTCTCATAATTCTGAGTAAAAATTACAAGTTTTAAGGTAATATGCATGTAATGCTTCAGTGTGTAATACTAGATCTTCAGAATGTGTCATCTTAATTTTTAATAGACGTTTAAATTTTCTTTACTTCAGTGTATAATAGCAGTTCTGAAATATTTAAGTATTTTGTGTGTTGTGATGTATTTATGAAATGTGAGTTAATGAGGTTTCTCTTGTGTTTAGATGTAGGGTTTCCTGTAGTGGATGTTCCAAAGATGGCCTTTGTGCAGGCAGAGAGCACGTTATCACACAAGAGGAAAAGTAATCTAGGCAACTCATTTCAGGCCAAGAGAGCTCGTCTTAACAAGATCACTGGTAAAATATTTTTTTCATTGTTGACTTTGTTCCTTTTCGTGTAGTGAAACATAGATGTTTATATAGAAGGTATTGGAGTAATTTCACACTCATGAGGGAGATGGTCGCTGCACTCTTTTACTTGTTGGGAATTTTAAAGGAATCTATAAATGGTAAAATGTGCCTTGTTCGTACATTCAAAGAATGGTCTCAGACTGTACTTGGTCTTTTTAGATTTTTAGGACAGTAGTCATCCTGAATTGGTTAATTTCTTGAGTATGTTTTAACTCCAGCTGCAAAGTTTTCTCCATTATTGGATGAATTTTTGGGCTTTGTACAACTTCTTAACAAGGTCAGGAGTTACATACTACCAGTGTAAATTAGAACTATGGTTAACTGTGGGGAAACAGTAAATGTTTTGTCACAAAGTAAAATTGTTGCTGAGAAGAGTTCACAGTACGTCATTTACAAATGCACAAGCTGTATTTCCTCTTGTATTTAAAGGATTAATTCACTTTCACTGAAAGGTAACATATTCTCTGCTAGCAGAGTATGCCTTTGTGGAGAGAGACATACACTTTTTAAAATTATAGTAAAGTCAAAGGCTACAAAATCATGGTTTCCGATTATTCAGCTCAGTCTGTATGAGCCTGTCTGCCAGCTATTATTCTCGTAAAGCTCCTTAGGAAATAAAAATCTATCCACAAGCACAGGTAAATATGATTTCTAAAACTACAGTTTTTTCAACTGGTTTTAGTCTCTTCTGCCACTAAATGCTATTGTAAAGAAATGAACATTTCTTTGTAAATATGTATCACTAGTCTGTACATCTTATACTACTGCTGCTCATGGCAGCAATTAAATTGGGACTCAACTGAGGATGTACATAATATGGGCAAAGGAGAGTAGAAATGAAGTTGGTAAATTAGATATCTGTTAACTAAACTTGGAACCAAACAAAGGAGCCTTCTAGGAATGAAAATCCCGGAGGCAGAAAATGGGTTTTTATAAAGAATGCTTCTGTGGTGTGCTGTTACTTACAGAGGATGGTGAACCTGTAGTCCTGCGGCAGCAGTTGTAGAGGCATGGTGGTTGGTTAGAAAAATACTTCTTGGGATAGAGAAGAAGGAGAGAATAAGGGTTGTATATTGACAGGTCTGGCAGAATCTAGATTCCTTTAATGACTTGAATTTCTGAGCACTGAGCATCTACCTAGAAGTAAGAGAATCTGAGAATGACAGAATGGTTTGGGTTAGAAGGGATCTTAAAAGTCATCTAATTCCAACCCTGCTGCCATGGGCAGGGACACCTTCCACTAGGCTAGCTTTCTCAAAGCCTCATCCAGCCTGGTCTTGAAATCTTCCAGGGACAGGGCAGCCACTCTTCTCTGGGGAACCTGTGATTTATAGAACCACAAAAGCTTCCTCATGGGCAGTAGCTTGTTCTTTTGTATTTAAAACTACTTCACTAGATTTTGAGAATTCTTTTATGTTTTTTGGTATAAACACATTGTCAAGGTAAATAACTCTGCAATTTGGAACTTGATTTAAACAGGATAGTTTGAGTTCCAAATACTTATTCTAGGCCATAAAACCTAAATCTTTTATGTAGCCTAATGCAGAATTAAAATTTTACCTGATAATTTTGGTTTTATGTGATAGGACTAAGTAAATTTCTGCTTTTCAGTTAACCTAAACTGAAGCACAACTTAATCTAACACAACAAATAAATGAAACAAAGCACCAGGTGTTTATTGTGGAGAACTGAAATATTTTTGTTTTATTTTTATGTCCTGAATAGGTCCTGAGAGCCCAGGCTTCACTAATTTATAATTCTTTGGGCATTGTACACCTTTGGCATATCTAATTTTTCGTGGAATGCAGCAGGAATTCCCTCTGTATTTGTCAGGTTATTTTTGGGGACTTCAATTTTTCACCCCCAATAATGACATCCTTAGATATTATAATAGGAGTTTTTATTCAGATTTTCAGGTTGTATCAGTTCTGCTTTGTCTTGTGACATAGAACTTTTTCTTTCTCTTCATACTTAGGCAATTAAAGTTATTGTGTGAGGTACAACTGAGCTATTGCCATATGCTTTACTGAAAAAAGCTTTCTTATTTTTATATTGCCTTGTCTTTTACAGGTTTTTTGTAGTAGTGATATTGTGCATAAGTGTGTTAATGAAGTGACATATTCTAATATATATATTTGCTCCCAATATGGTCTCATTATTGAGGTAATTTGGGAGCTTCACTGCTGAGAATCATTTGTTTGGAAATTAAATCCCTTTCTGTCTCAGAAAGGTTTACATGTGTTAGAGTTAAGAAGTAGTAATACAAATTCTGATGCAGATTTCTTAAAGACTGGAAAGGGGAGAGAGAGAGCAGTTTTGTAACTTATTCTGATTGCAAAATTTACTTATGCATCATACGTAGTGTTTTAAAGCCCAAGTGCTGGGGCTTTGGAAAGATGGTGAGGCTTTATTTTACAACTGATAATTTGATTTTCATCCTGTCAGTGGAAATGCCAGAGATGTACCTCCTGTGTAAGGATGCCATCATTGGAATGTCCTTTTCTGACACTTTTTTGTTTCTTCTAATTTAAAGTGTTCAACTTTGCATGGAGCCATTTCAGAAAGATTCTTGTTGTAGATATATGCAGTTCATATTAGCTTTGTTTTCTACAAATTCTTGTTGCAAGGTGCTTCTAACTATAAATATCTACAACTTTTCTCCTAAGGTTTATTGGCATCCAAAGCTGTTGTTGCGGATGGTGCTGAAAAAAAGGAAGGCAACAAAGAAACAGCTCCAGTCCTGGAGCAGGTATGAAATGGTAGAGTTTGATTTTTTTGCAAAGTTCCCACTGGAGTGTGCCATGGAGATGTAGTACCTACAACATTAAAATTTTCCCCTTCAGATATAACAGGGAACTGAAAATTTATCTTATGTTTACATTTCTGGCAGAGCCAGAAGTATGGAATTTAATTGTCTCTAAATAGTGTTGACTTGAATTTCAATAATGAGCTTTTGTGTTAAAAAAATAGCAGAAAACAAAATAAAATGAAGTCTCCACACAAGAAATGTGAGGAGACCAGCGTCCCAAGGTCCAGTTTTATAGCTGGAACCATGACTGGCTTAGGAAAAGGCCCTTACACAAATTTAATTTGTGTTTGAAACAGGGTTTTTGACATCACATAGAACTTCTTTTAAAAGAAGTTTCTTTTATATTGTAAGAATTTGGTGTTGTAGGCTTGTATGTGTTTTATGAACTGCTCAATGAGCCATACATTTTGCAAGGGTGTGTATTTTAATAAATACAAAAAAGAAACTTTTAAATAATGTTAAGGGTCTGATTTTTTAAACCTGCATATTGGCAGGACCTGGAGGCTACCATTTTGTCTTTAGCTTATTTCACTGTTTTCAGGCATTGCTTGACTCCCAGTTGTGCAGTTACTTGCATATAAAAAGGGCTGAATGCCTGAGCACGGTAAAGCAAGCTGAGGATGAACAGTAGTCTTGATTCAGGACATCTTTGTTTTCCAATGATTTAAATCAGAGCCTTAATGTAGTTTTAATACAGCTTTTTTGTATGCATTTTCATTCTTCTTTAACAGCAGCATTTGAACCTAACAGCCTTGCTGCCTGCAATTCTTTAACAAGCACTTCTGTTCTTTAGCCCCCGGCACCCTCTGCAAACAGTCCCTACCCCAGACTTGATTTGATATTTTGGGTGTACTGGTTCTTTAGAGCTGATACATGATTGCATTGCTCTGGTTTTCCCATTGACGCTGCATTGGATGCAAGTTTTGTCAGTGGAACCTGATTCTCTGTTTTTGATGCTGTCACTGTAAGGGCCGGCGGAGCCGCCGTGGTGCCGATGCATTGACCGATATTTTGCATAAAGGTTTACAGTGTATTGACACGACATTCCATTTCTCAAATTTTTGCATATTAAAGATGCTATGATTTTTCTTGCTACTGTGTGTGATATTTTCAATGTGCAAAAAACTGTGAAATGGCTTACAGCATGTTGTTTTTTTGGAAGAATCATTACAATGTAAATCTTGCCATGCAGAATCCCATTGCGGTGAATGGGACTTTGTGGTTTACATAGACTGTGTATGCAACAGTATAAACTGCGGTGCATATTTACTATAACCTTTTTGTTACTTCTTAGACTTAGTAACTCGGCTGTTCCTGTTTATTGATCACATATAAAAAAAAAGATGTCTCTGTCATTGTTTACATGCTAATGGTCTGAAAAACCTCATTTTTTGAAAGTACTAGTTAAACTCAATTAAAGAGGCATCTAAAATCCCAAATTGTCCTGTTCCTTTGCTAACTAACTAAAACCTGAAACCTCACAAACATTTAAATGATTGACTTTGGGGAGGAAAATTTTTGAGCTTAAAGCTTTTCTCACTAAGTTTCTGCCCAAACTGAAATTAAAATGGCCGAGTTATAAACCTCCCCAAAAGTGTTCCAGTAGTGAAGCTGACATTCCTTAGAGGTTTTGTCTGCTACTGCTATAAAATTGAATGGGTAAAATATCTTGTAGGGTTTTTTTAATAATGTAATACAGAACATGGTAGTAGAAGTATTCAGGCCAATAGCCGAAAACTGACTTTGTTGATGGAAGTTTTTGTTTATATATTTTTAGTTTACAGTTGTCTTAAACCCAAAACCTCAGACAATTAGTTGCAGATACAGTAGTTTATTTAATTGTATTAGGGTATGTCATGTTATATTTCCTTTTGACCAAGACCTGATTAGATGGATAACATTAATTCATTAAGGTTTTTAATGTTAATTTGTCCTGTTAAGAGGTTAAGCACCTTATCAAAATCTTAATTTAATTTTTTTAATCTTGTTTAAATAACTTTGTAATTTGAAAGTAATGGATGCTGTAGTATGTCTTTCACATCTGTGAAGATGAACAATAAAATTGTTTATTTACAAGTTACGACTCTAATTAATTTCTGGTAATACCTCTCATAACCAGCATAGGTATCTTCCATGGTCCATGGAATATTTTATTTAAATGAATAAACTGCACTTAGTATGCGTGTAATTGAGTTATTCAAGGTAGCACTGATGTCTGCTGACTGGGATGTTTTGCACCGGACCTTTACAGGATAATTCCAGCGAGCAATTCATGTAGCATTCAAGGGTGCCCTTTTACAGACATAGAATGTGCGCTTGTGGGGTTTTATTTTACCTTTTTTGTTTTTCCTCCACTGGAACATGGAAAGTTCCAGTGGAAAATAAAATTGCAATTTATAACAAAACTCAATAATACCCTCAAATCACCAGAGATGAAATGTTTTTAGTTTGGATAAACTGGTGCACAAGTTCTAGAAGTACCTTTCTGCTTTGTTAGTTATGGTTTTATTAGATGCTACTATACTGTGTGATGTAACTGAGACAAGAAAGGGGACAGACTTAAGGAGTTATGTTCAGATATTGTAGTTTACCCTTATTAGGCAAGTTGTAACAAATTCACGGTTTTAGTAATGCAGGAAGACCTTCTAGTTAAAAATTTAAAATGCCAATGTCTGTCAATGCATGCTAACGGTCTAAAAATAATAGTGTGTGTTAAGAAGGATGAAAATTGATGAATTTGGAAAACTGCTTTATGTGTTGACTTTGTTTCCTTCAAAAACTGTTTTAACTCTTTATCTGCTCGTTTTTTCTCCAACAGTTAGCAATCTATTTAACCCTGTGGTGCTAGAAGTTGTGATTTCTTCATGTTTGCACAAACATATAATGTGGTGAAATCCAGACTCCCAGCACTGAAAGGGGTTGTGTGAGAGTGTGCTCAGTATTTGGAAACCTTTTGTTGTTTTCTGGCATTACTTAAAGGAGCATTATCAACTTTTTCAGGTTCTCAAAAATACAAATTTTTTCATGTTAAATATGGATTTATTGAGGAACTTCTTAATTATTTTTTTTTGTTTTGGCTATGATCAGGGAAATGACCATGCAGGGAAAATTTTGGCAACTTTTTTTAAAACTTCAATCCCCTGAGGAAGGTTTGTTTGTTCGTAGCAGTGCCAGAGTTCAGGGAGTGTCTGGACAACACTCTCAGTCATATGGTTCAGCAGTAGCCAGTCCTGCAAGGAGCAGGGAGTTGGACTCAGTGATCCTTATGGCTCCCTTCCAACCTCAGGTGTTCTGTGACTGTACATCGGTGTGTGTATTCCAGCCTGGAACAAGTGTTCTCCAAGTTATACATGGAGACTGCACTGACAGTCCTGGTCAATTGGAGATGAAAGACTTCAGTGAATTTTTAAATGGGAAATAGAGGAAAAATATTTTCTTTTTGGGCTTTTTGCAGGTATTTTAAATAGTAAGAATTGAGCCTTCCGAATACTGAAAACAATTGATAGTGCTCCTTTAAAAAAAGCAAAATTTAGTGTGATGCATTTTAAATAGTTTTCACTTGTTCTTAAAATAATGTTGCTTTAATATGTGTTTGAATACTAAAATTGCTTTTAAAAAGATCAAAATAGAATACAAGAACTACAGCGAAGAAACTGAAATAAAAGTATCAATTTTTTATTATTTATTCAGGAGATTTCACCTAAACCACAAAGTCAGAAAAAAAATGAAGCTGATATTAGCAGTTCTGCCAACATTCAGAAACCTGCACTGTTATCCTCAACTTTGTCTTCAGGAAAGGCTCGCAGCAAGAAATGCAAACAAGAATCTGGAGATTCTTCTGGGTGTATAAAGCCCCCTAAATCACCACTTTCCCCAGAATTAATACAAGTCGAGGATTTGACGCTGGTCTCTCAGCTTCCTTCTTCTGTGATTAATAAAACTAGTGAGCACAGACATTTTAAAAAAAATACCGTAACTACTTATAAGAGATATACAGAAATTTTCTTTGGTTGTAAATGGCTATTGCTTTTAAAAATTAATCTGCTTTAAATAAAGGGTCCAAGTGGGAGAATTAGGGGTAGCTCAGTATTTTAAAAGTCAAGTTGCTTAATAAGGCATTTGAATTACTCTACCAGAAATAATACATTTAAATAATATATTGATATTTATAGAGTTGTGGCTTTTAATGGTTGGCTTTCCCTCCAGCTTAAATCTCCACTTTAGTATTAACAGTGATACAGGAAAAATCAAACCTCCCTTCTGAAAAGGGCCTGATTCATTAAAAAGAAAAGACATACACCTTGGTGTGGACCTTTCCTTCTCTGAGAAATTTCACCTTCAGCAGGCTGACGTGCTGTACCTGTTGGCTGTGGCATTCTTCACCTTATGTGATATTTCCTCCAAATATGATGTGAAAGAGAAGATGGGTTCAAGATCTGTGGTGGAGAAATATAAAAAATTGTGTTTCTTTGTCCCAGAAAAATCTCGTAGGTGTTCAGCTTCTTAACATATGTAACTGATTTGCCAAGTACCAAAATACTGTTTTATCAGAAGAACAGGGAAAGTTTTACGCTGCTTGCGTGAATATGCTATTTTTTGTGACTATTAAAATATTTCTATAATTTTTTTTGAGATTACATTAGGTTTTTAGTGTTGCTTAGTGTCAGGTTCTTTGCCTGAAGAACATTGAGTGATGAGACCAAGGGTTAAAATAAATAAATGCAGTTTCCAGTAAGTCAGAAGCTACATTTTTGTTTCACTTTTAGAATAGTGATTGAGGATGGAAGACTCAACCTGCATCATGTGTTCCCCTTAACCTTCATATTTTCCCTTATAAGTTTCTTTTTAATCTTTACTCACAGATAACTCTAAATGAGTGGGAGAGGGAGGGGTGCAAATTCAGCTGTCTTCATTTATTCAGGACACAGTGGTAAAAACTGTATTTTGTCCCCAATAAATATTAGCAGTCATCTATATTGTAATATGCCTTCTATCCCCACCCCTAGAACAATGGTAAGTAGTTTTCCTGGAGCATGTTTATGTCTTGGGTTAAGTTAGACTTCTCTGTAGTGTATTTTAAAATTAGCTAATTTAAAAATTGGTTACTTAATAGCTCAGATCTTGTCTTTTAATGTTTGACTTCCAAGTTTTTGCTACCTCTAATGGAAATTTAGTTTTGCTATGTCTTTATTTTTAAATCTGTGCATCTTTGACTCTAAAAACTGCTTACAAAAAGGAGAAAAGAGTGATTTACAGTGTTATAGTGACTTAAATGTTTTTCTAAGGCAAAATTTTCTGAAACTGGGTAAAATTGAAGAGGTGTAGCAGAGTGTGGGTTTTTTGTTTTTAATGAATCAGGCCTATATTAACCTATATCAATCCTCCTCCCGTCTTTTTTTTTTTTTATTTTGTTGAATATAAAGTTCTGGAGCCTTCTCACTGTGCCATGCATTGGCAGTGTATGTTTCAGTTACAGCTGGGGTATTGATATCAGGTTAGCAGAAGAGAGGAGGTGGAATATAAAATTAAACTCTGTTTTCAGTTATTTTTCTAAGTTATATGTTAACATTATCCATGACTTTTTGGATCATTAACTGTGATCATTTGTTCTGTTTATTGTTAAATCCTATTGCCCCCTTCCATTTTAAGTAGCCTACTCTCATGGGTTTTATGGGGAGGGTTGCTTATTGTAAATACCCTGTTTACCTAAAACAACAACCTTTATCAGTGGGGAAGTAGGTGCCCTAATATTGTATAGTAAGCAAAAACCAGAATCATGTCTTGAGCATAGCTCTTTCTTTTGCTCCTGATAGTCACAGTTTTGTAATTACTTTTACCAGTTTTGCTGTGATTACCAGCTTTGCAAATAAGAGCTACTTAAAATAGTCCCCATCTTTAGATCTCAAATACTTCGGTAAGATGATGGTATATCTCTCTGCTTCATGAACATTGAAAGATCTCTTTTTAGGTCCATCACAGCCAGTGAATTCCCCTAGATCCTACAAACATAGCCAGCGGAGAAGAAGATCACAGCGTTTAGCCACTTGCTCCTTGCCTGATGATTCTGTAGAAAAAGTTTCTTCTCCCTCTTCAGTTACTGATGGAAAAGTGTTCTCCATCAGTGGTCAAAACCAACAGTCATCAAAATTGGAGGGTAATGTATCTTAATCTAATAAAGAACTGCCCAAGAGAAATTGAATCATAAAAACTAAACCTTTCATGGTTTTCATCTAATGGGGTATTTTGACTTGCTGTAGCTAAAGCTGTTTGCTGTTCCTATGTTATGTAACGCTGCAATCCAGACTATTGTTTGTTGGACTGTGTATCTTTTTTAATATGACATTTTTTCTTTTGTGTAGTACCTGATGTTGCTCATATGTCACTTGAGAAGCGTGGAACATGTCTCCCTCTTGATTTAAGCCGTAGTTCGGAAGTTACAGCGCCATTATCCACAGAATCCACTTTCTGTAATGAATATCCCAGTAAAGACAAGGAAGATTTTCAGATGGTTACATATCTTTCTTCTAAAGCAGTAACTGATGGAAGAGTAGCTACAACAGCGTCAGGTAAAGAGATTCAGTATACAACCAGACAGGTTTATAGCTGCAGGGTTAAAATGTGTGTGTATTCAGTCTCACAGAAAGAGGGGATACTTTTTGTTTTCCTTCCTTCGCACTCAGAACCCTGCCACTTCCTGGACTCCATCTGCATATTCTTTATCTTCCCCTGGATCTGAGCTGCATTAGCACTTCTAACAGGTTTTAAGGAGAATCTGAGAGTGTGGAATGTTGGAAGCAGTATTTATTTCAAAAATATTTTAAATTATTGTTGAAAGTTGTAGAAATAATTAATGAAGTGTTTACTAACATACTAATATACACTTGTAGCTTCAGCTTTAAAACAGTGGTGCTTTCAAAGACAGTATTCTTCTGCTTTCTGTCTATTTGCAGGGGAAATTTTGCCCTTTGCTCGCTTTGAAATATTACTTGAAAATATTTATGCAAAGTCTTCAAAAACTTTTATATAGACATGGTCCCCCTCAGAATTAGCACACAGTCCAGTACTGGAATTCTGTACTGCCTCTCCCTTTCTAACAGTTTACTGACCTCTGTGGCTTACATGAAACACTTGGATAGAGGTAATGAAGAGATATGGGGAAGGGTTGGTATAGTGGTTTGCAGGCCCTAGAAGTGGACTGCGTTCATCCGGTGTGTGTTAGGTGTCCATGTAATTTCTTATAAATAAACCTCATGTGGGCGAGTATCAAATAATTTCTAACTGACTTCCAAGAAAGAATTCTTCTCACAAGTTGTTTTTTTTTTTAATGAGAAAATTGTACTCTGAAGTGAGGGGAAAAAATCGAATTATTATACTCTGCTGGAAAAGTTGTTGATAAAAGTGATTGATGGTAAGGGAGGACAGCATGACCTTAAAGGATATAGTTATGACACTTAAAATATATCTTACTCCATTAATCTGTGAATCTCTTAAACTAATTTGTAAAAAAAAGGGCTATGGGAATTTCTAATGAGCTGCCACTTGAGGTTTTTAAAATATTAAAATATTACTTAATTACTCGAAAAATGTGACAGTCTTCATTTGCCCTTGATACATTGCATAGCAGTAGAATCACAGATTCCTGGGAAAAGTACCTCTGTAAAAGTCCTTTTTATTTTATATCTTCTGCTACTAGGAGAAGTGCTTTTGGGAGATGTGTATTTGCCCACTCACTGAACAAGCTCCTAAAAGAAACCAACAGCTTCCAACTGCCATCTGTTTCTTGTTTGGTAGAACTCCTTTCAGTTACTACTTTTCTGGTATATTTTCTGGCTCATTTAACGTATAGTTGGTAATACTGGAAGTTGCCTGCTTCCATTATGGACCTGGCTCAGAGTCCAAGTGAGGTGGTTCTAAACCCAGCATCCAGGAGTGCACTTGTACCTCTTTGCTTGGTGAGCTGGGTCTTGGTCGTGGCCACAACGGAATCTCATTAAAGAAAGAATAAGTTTCGTTTATGGACACCTGTATTTGACTCGGAATTATTTGAGATGTCCACACAGTTTGTGTCAGGGTAAAACATTCCCTGATAAAATTGTTGAATCTATTATGGGAAACTGGAAACACTTGCAACCTATGATGGAGAATAGAGTTTATACTATATTTATAGCTTAATTAAGCTTTTATTGTATCTATATAATTTTAAGAATTATAAGCTCTAAAGAAAATGATTTTCCAGCTACCTGTTTGTCTTCTGGGTTTTTACCTTCCAAACAAATCTGCTTTTTTCCTAATTTTCATGTATTACAGTTTTCCTCCATGCCATCAGTGGAACTCTGTCTTGAGTTTTAATGATGACTTTTTGTCCAAATGTTAGAAGTTTTCAGTAGTTTGCAGTCCAGCATCATCTTGAGTATTAGCTTTGTGGCCTGATAGGCTAATCTATGCCTTTGAGATCTTTAGTTCCTAGCAGGTTTTGGAGCCAGCTGCCTTTCTCGGTTGAATCTCTGTGACTCTAACTGAAGCTTGTGTGGCTTTTGGTTTCATCTCAGGCTTCTAACTCTGGTGAAATTTGTTTTTCCTTCTCATATTCTTCTTAGAAGAAAAAGAAGAATGTAGCTTTTATGCTCAGGTTTGAAACCTCTGGAGTTAATTTACACTGTTGAATAGTTTTGTATTCTTTGCTTTAGAAGGCATTGCTTTGCCTTTGAAATAGCACAGGTTCTGAAGTCACGTTATTTAACAACACGTTCTTCCATGCTTCAGAGAACTAATAGAATCCACTCTATTTATCAGTGCTTTTCTAGTTAACTCGTTTAAACAATAACAAGCAAATATATAAAGGAGAGATGCCCAAAGCTTTCCTTTCTCATTCCTGTCAGAGCTTGAAATTATCAAGAAAAGTTAATTTGCACTATACAGGAACATATCCCTAAGTGCAGTTTAATATATTGCATTGTTCAGTGTATCCACTGTGACTCTATACACTACAAATTGAGAACTCTGGTGTAAAATCCAAACTGTCCTGTAATTGGGTTTTCTTGATCTGAAAGAACTGTTTCAAATTACATCTGTTTATAATATTGCTGTTTTTTAGATTTTATTGACACAGTGTGGACGGATGTGGTGTTCTACATTTTGACATCACTGGGGTTTGCTAAGTGCATTTAGATTAGACCCACTGTCTTTGTAAGTGTAGATAGTTTTAGAGATGATGAAGGTAATGGAGGTATTTGGCCTAGAACAGCCTGTTGTGGTCACTGCCCCTTCTGTAACAGAGCTGGACTGGTTTAGGGCCAGAGATGTTATTTGTGGTATTGCAAGTTCTTCTTCTGATGGAGCCTGTCAGTTGAGTCAGTTGAAAAAATAATGGTACTTTTTAAAATGATGTGTTTTAATTTCTTTATTCAAAAGTTACTGCCTTAGTGTTTTTTAGAGGAGAAGGACTCGGTGCACTGAAGTGCAGATACATAAATGGCAACTCATAGTAATAACACATAGATTTCAAAATCACTGCTCAAAATTAACAACTGATTGTTTTGTAAAGGCCACACAAATATTCTGTTATAATTCCTTCAGTCCACAAGCTCCATGGAAGTACTGTGCACTTTGGTACATCCTGTACCCATTAGTTACTGAACAGAGGTATTGCTTTGCCTAAACTGTTGTGAGGACCTCCTTGTGATCACTTGACATTGTACACACATAACTAAGAATCTTTGTTTTCATTTGCCAAATTGCTTAAAATGCAGATAACTGGCCTTCAAATCCACAGTCAGTCAGAATACCTGCAAAACACTGTAGTTTTTTAGTTCTGAGTATATGAAGTGCAAATCTTTCTGTAGTTGTGCTTTTCTTTAGATTTGTGATTGTTTTTCTTGGTTTCTATAACTCTGTACCATTTGTGTTAGTTTAGCTGTTATGTATTGAGCAAACATTATTTCAGCAAGCAATCTGGGTTTTGAAATTTAAGTGAAAGGAAAATATTGTTACACTCAGTCATCTAACAATATAATATTTATAATACTAATATAACAATATTATCATTAGTTGTTATCTCCTGTTGTAACTAGTCTATAGATGCTGTTGCTACTAGGGTAACATTAGGTTAACTATATGGGAGAAATTTGCACTTAGATTAAAAGAAAAAGAACATTGCATACTTTTACATAATTTCATCAATAACAGTTTACTGCAGCAGGAACAAGAAACAGCTGATGGACAAAATTTTCAGAAAATGAGATCAGTGGCTTTTTAAAAACTCTTGCCTGCGTTCCTGGTTTACACTGCTTTTAAGAGGGGTGAACTGTAGCTCTTGTCACTTTGGGGCTACTAGGAGTAAAACAAACATGTATTAACAGTCAGATTTAGTCCCTGATTTGAATGTCTGCCATTCTGATCTCTGCCCTGAAGTTCCCAGTTTGAGTTGGTTAGCTGAAAGCAAGCAAGAACCTCTTCATGGGCTTATCTTTCCTGAAGAGATCATTTTGTGTAGGATCTGATATTAATCTGTGATATGTAACTGAAATGTGTTTAGAAATAAAATTGATCCTATGTGCTGGGAATTCAGAACACTAAATTAAACATGGCCAGCATAATTCATGTTTCTGTTACAATATGATTTAATTTGAATATTGATGCAGATAATGATATTTCTGATATTATTTTGAAACATTGAAAGCCACGGAATAGAATATTAATCAGCAAAATAAGTTGCCTCAGATTGGTACAACCTATCTGAATTTGCTGAAATGCAATAAGCAGTACCACTGCAAGCCCACCTGTGCTGCTGCACATGTGGCACATCATCTTGTCCCTGTGCCTGTGCTCAAATAAGGGGCTTTTGTCACTTCCCTGTGCCAGATCAGGAGAGGTAGCACTGGAAACGTGTCATTAGCTGGACTGGAAGTGCCATGGTTTACATTTCTTTTTAATCTGAAATCAGTCTTCTAGTGATAAAATTGATCTTGGAACAGTGACAAAATCAGTAGTTTATCAAGTCTAATCTCTAGTGGTCTTTCTCTTTGCTGAGTGTTAACTGCAGACCTCCCACATTCACTGTGTGGGAGGTGTCTGGCTAGACTCCTGAGCAGGAATAAACTTGCAATTAAAAGTAACAGTTCAGAAAAGAGGTAGTATTTCCGTAAAGGAACTAATATTTTTCTTGCTGTATTTGTTACTTGACCTTCTGACTCTGACAATTTAATTTTGTGGTTACTTGTAAGGCAAGTGGTTACTTGCATGTGCATAGTGATTGCACTGTTGAAAAGTGGACTTTTCGAGCCTTAGCACTTTATTTAGGATTTGAGAATTCAGGATTCTTAATCTAGAATGATATCTGATGAATAAAAGTAAAAGCCGAGCATAACATTGCAATGTATGCAGGGGTAATAGCAATTCCTATTTTCAGGTTACTATAGAAAGGCAGCCTGGAGAGCTCTGTCTTAAAAATGGGTATTTGTGTGACTGGAGCAGATTTCTGCCCAACATAAATGTTCTCTCAAATAGTTATTTTGTTACTAGTTGATGACTTTGTCAGATGTGCTTGTGTTGTGCATTATTCAGATACTGAAGCTTGTTGTGTTGTGGCTATCAGTACTGGAGCACATTTGAATGTCAGGTCAGGATTCCTTCTCAATCATGAAGTTTAAATACTAACTCATCTAATGTTGAGACTGAATTCCTTCTGAAATTGTTTGGATGGAGTGTTCTCACATCTCTTCATCAAAATGGCAGTGACCTAACTGAATTATGTGCATTTGGGTGATCCTTTTGTGCTTGTTACAGAAATGAGACAAGACGTTGATAGCGTGATGATGTGGGGAAGTGTCACTTTTTCTTTTACTAATGTGCTAAAATATACTTACTGCTCTACAGATGGCAAAGCGTTTCAGTCCTGTAAGAGAGACAAATGGTAATTAGGAAACTGAAGAAAGGAATAATTTGGGTAGTGTTTTGTGTCAATAATAAGCATCCCGGTAAGCTAAATTCAGTTGAAATACAGACAAAGGCAAGAGTCTGAATAGCAGATCAGCCTTAAAAGGATTGTGGTGTTAGGTGAGGTGGTTGATTTGAGGTAGGGCAGGACTCAGGTAGCCTCAGCCGTGGTCATGCAGCTCGTGTGGAGTGGTAGGAGCCAGCACACAGAACTGAGCAGCAGCTGCTGGCTGGATGGCACGGTATAATGATGTCTTGCAGCTGGAAACATCTGGCATTTAAAAGTGCTGTGTTGTGTGGTAGGTGATGTACTGTTTCTACTTCTGCTACCCCTGTGGCTTTCTCACTCGGTGGCACTTTGTTTTCCCAGGAAGGCTGACTGGCAGCTGGAGTTACCTTTATGTAACCTGTGTGTTGCATCCTGCTAGAATTGGGTTGATCTGTCCGAGCCTGTAAGGCTGCCTTATAGAGTCAGCCCTGTAGAGTTCCCTTTTCCCCAGAATCCTCTTTGAATTATGAATTTACTAAATTATCTTAACACTGTTTATTTAAATCTATTTTTTGTTCTATTGCTGAATATTTAAAAAAGAGTAAATCAAAGAAGGTCAAAGGGGGAGCTCAAAGAACCCATTCCAGATGAGCTCCATATTTTGTCTTGTTGAATATCTTGACCAATAACAGGTATTTTTCATGACTTTTTACATGCTGTTGCTTTTGTTTCACTTCTCTGCTGAGAGACACCAAAGGTAACTGGTGCCTCTAAGATTTTACCTCTTGCATTGAAAAGCCGGAACCTCTTATGGCTTTGAAGAGCTGCATTTTTGCACAGTATGTCCTTGGCATGTCCTGAAATATCCTCAATGGCCTGATAAAGATTAGGCTTTCCTAATTATATTTAAATGAAACTTGAAGCTCTCAGCATATTGATGGACACAGTAATAGAGAGTTTTGAATTATCTCAGTAGTGTTCTTGATAAATAACTTTTATTCTAGTTTATTTAGAAATTATTATAAATATTAGCAATGAAAATTATAATTTTAGTTTTGTTTTGCCATGTTACTTCCTAGTTTGCATCAAACAGAGGTTTAAAAAAAACTATTAAATATTTCACAGAATAAACTTTTCTGAATAGTACAAGATAAGAATTGTCAGTATATGGTGCTGAGTTCTGACAGATCATCACAGTATTTTGCATGTAATTCTAATGCTGATTAAATACCTACGTGAAAGACAGTGAATTATTTAAATATTATTAAAATCAACAAAAAATTCAGGAAGCAGAATTGTGTTATACATAGCGCTAAAAATGTTGTGCTGGAGTTTAATTTCTTTGTTAACATAATGGAACATTAAGTTAAATTATGCTGACAGTGTAGCACCTTTAATTATTACTCTTATCGTGGGTTTCCATTACAGTGAAATAAAAAGGAAACAAAAAGGGTTAAAAGGGGCAAGAAAAGTACACTTTAACCAGTACAAGTAGTTTTAAAGCCCAAAACAGAAACTTTCTGTGGCATGTATTGTCTTGTATGCAAGACTAAGACCTAGGCATTCATATGAAGTAATTATCTGTTAAGTGTGGTGATGCTATGACCAATATTGACCCAGGGATCTGACCCAGGGATCTGGGTTTCAGGGATCTGACCCAGCCAGTGAGCTGGCTGCAGTCCCTGTGGAATGCCTAGTAAATCGGTCTTCTTGTTTTCAGCACCCTAGTCCCTTGTACATGTCTTGCATCTGGAAATGCCTTTAACCAATAGTGTAAAGTTACCTAAAGAGAATAGTAAAAAAAAGAGGTCTTCCACATCAGTGAGCTCTGAAGGGACAGAGATACAGTGCTCTGTGCCTGTAAAGGAGAAGTGTTTTGAGAGTCTGAAGGAAAAAATATTAAAGAACATGATTGAGAAGGACAAGCATTCAGAAGTTGGTAAACTACAACACTTTTTGTTTCCAGTGCTTTAGATGATAAAAATAATTGTAAAATGATATTAAAAATAATTTTCATGTTTGTATCTTATTACTGTGTGCCATTAGGATGTCTTACGGTCTAATGACTTTTACAAGAAAGTGGGTCATCAGCCAGACATTGGCCTTATGTTGTATATTCTTCATTTGCAGGTGCAGCAAAAGTGGAAAGAAAAGGAAAACTGGAAGAGAAAAGTTCTTCAGCGTATGGTATGTAGACTGCAGTATTATTTTTAGGAAAAAAAAGGAGAAATTCTCTTAACACTTGATGTCTCTGAAGAGCGAATGTAAAAGCATAAAATATTTCCAGGGCTCAGCTGCACCACTTTTGTATTTTAGGTCTTAAAAACAGTTTTTACGTATATGACAGGTTTATAAAAAAAGAATAATTTTATAAGATAAAATTAAAGTGTCTGTAGCAAGGATTTTGAAGGATCCAGAGGTACTTATGAGATGCCTGCTGCCTCTGGATTTTCATTTTGGTTGGGGTTTTTTTGTGAAATGATTGATACTGGTTATTTCATTGTACTGACAGGTTCGAGGTGGGAGGAGCAAAGAAGTGTTACTAGCAAAATATTTGGCAATTCATGAAATAAAATATAGGAGGACTTTGGTTTTATCCTGTGTTTAAAATAAATTGTTAGAGACAGACAAGAATTCCTAAGTGATTCTTCCTTGTTCCTCCTGGAAGTAAAAGTTTTGTTTCTGTGTTCTTCAAGATAATAAGACTCCAATTTGTGTGCAGGAAATAATCCTTAAATGCTGACTTTAAGGCTTATTTTTTGTAGCAAGTTGATGTCATTGTTTGTCTCACTGCTTATTTAAAAAATGATTGTGGAGTGAGACTGTTGTAGGGTGTATTTTGTCTGGGGAGAATTGACAGGGTAAGTAGAATTTTTCAGAGTCAAAATACTTGTCCTCATGTATACCAACAGTGGTTAAAAGTGAACTGCAGTGTAAAAGTGTGTCAAATTCTAGACAGAATCAGTTTTCTGTGAGGATATGGCTGTATAGTGCAAAGTGCTGACAGCATCAGCAGATCTGTGATACTGAAATTTCCTTCAAATGTCTTTATATGGCCTAATATGTGTTTTTAGGGCAATGTTATCCTTATAACTGGGAATTTAGCACTTCTGAAAGCTTTTCCTCTTGTCCAAATCTTTTTGTTATAAACTGTAAGTAAAATAGATGTTACAAGCTATTTAAATGATGTTTAAATCATTTTGTGTGCTTTGCTGTATCTTTTTCTGCTATGATATCTCATTTGGAAATACTAACAGTGGTAAAATATTATTTGTTGAATGAGATTCCTTCAAACCGTTGTACCAGCAGCTAAGGAGAGATGTGCCCAAGATAGCGAGTAAACTAAATGAATCACTTTGATCTGATTAGACAACTAGAACACTTGATTTTGAATGTGTCTTTTTAGGTTCAGCTGAATACTACTGCTGGTTTAAATTGTTTAATTTTTGTTTCAGGTAAAAAGAAAGAAAAAGAAAAGGAGAAAAAAGAGAAAAAGGAAAAAGATCATAAACCAAAACAGAAAAAGAAGAAGAAAAAAAAGAAGAAATCTAAGCAGCATGGTAAGTTCAATTTATATTTTTTAAAATAAGTAAAACCACTCAGTATATTTCTGGCTTTAGATTGTAAAACTTGTTTCTAAACAATACTGATGTCAAATTTTAGAAATTTCAAGGAATAACTTCTGGCCTTAAATATGAAAAGGACACTTAGGTCTATGACCTCTTTTTTTTTTATGTGTGTGGGTTTATACCTTGTCTCTATGTGACAGGCACAGATATTTCATAGATCTTTTTTCTTCCTCCAAAAGATACACTTACTCTTTTTATCTCTTTTAATTCTTCATTTGAAGCTCTATATACATGTCCTACCTATTTTGCTTGGACACTAAAATTATTCTAGTATCTAGTCTGTTGCTAAATTTCAGTGGTTTACTGTAGACAATGCAGCCCTTCCTCAACAGTTAATCCTTAACAGCTGAGGTTGGCATCTCTGTTGTAACAGCCTTGTCTGTTGCCTTGACAAATGGGGATTATGTTATGTGGATTATGTGTTTCTCTGTCCAAGATTTGTGCTATAACATGAAAGTGCTTCCAAATCATGCAGTGCTTGAGTGTGAATTGCAGTATTGTAGGTTTTGTGTACTTCACCATATATAGATTGGAATAATACAGTTTTAAGCTATAAACTTTAATTGCCTATTTTACCCTAAAAATTATTGGGATTTTTTACTTGCACTGAGAAGACATTTAAGTATTTGCAAGAAGATACTGATAAATGCTAGGTATGTGCCCAGTATTGTTCTTTGGTTTTGTCTTGTTGATATCGTAAGGTGGTTTGCTGTGGGTTGTTTGTTTGTGTTTTTTTTCATCTTTTTATATCTTTGGTCTTTCTGCCAGCTTGTCTTGAAACTTAGAAACCTGGCAGAGGTACCATGACTAGGTTCTAACTGTCCAGTGTTTGTAAATATGAGAAGAAAATATGCCCAGTGCCCCAACGAATAGAAATGTTAAATCCAGATGCAGAAAACAATGAGTAAAACTTGAACATTCTTATTCTTAACAAATTCATCTTGTGAAAATCTGGTTTTAGCAATACAGAAGTATTCTGTCTGGCTTTTTTTTTTTTTTTTTTTAATTGGGGAAAAAAGAAACATTCTTTGGCGGATTCTGACTCGAGTGTCTGACACTGAAAAAGCCCATCTGTCAAAAGAAATAGGACTCTTTCTCCAGGACTAGTGCACTCTACTCCAGGCATGAACAGAAGTATAAGGGTGTTAGACATGCGCCTTTAGTTTGGAGTCAGATTGAGGCATCTTGGGGAAGAACAGGGAATGGGCACATTGTGTGCACCAGATAAGTTTTACACAAGACTTCAAAACAAACAAAAACTCTTTTTTCTTCTCTGAGTGGATATATGAAATGCTGATTGTGTAAAACCCACATATAGCAGAAGGTGGGTAATACCTGTTATTTATACTACTCTGTTACAGTGAGGTTGATAGCAATGCTGTTGGAATAATCAGCTCAACTACTCATTGAGTTGGTTTCTCTACAGTGAATATCCTTGGGAAATGATGGAGATAGTGTGCTTTTGACAAGAGAAAGTAAAGAGGAACAGTGACTTTGTGGAGGGTTATGTAGGGGAGAAGGATGTTGTGGAACCCACTGCAGGAAAGCTGTTACAGGTGGGAGCAGGAATGCTTCCTACAGAAGGATGAAAGTGTACAAATCTGATTACTCACTTTTATTCAAAGTAATAAGTTTTAAGAGAAGTAAATGGATAGGGACTCGTATTTACCAGTTGAAGACATGGACTTGCTTAAGTGGGTCCAGAGGAGGCCACGAAGATGATCAGAGGGCTGGAGTACCTTCCCTATAAGGAAAGACTGAGAGACTGTTTAGCCTAGAAATGAGAAGGCTCTGGGAACACCTTACAGTGGCCTTCTAGTACTTAAAGGAGACCTACAGAAACGATGGGGAGTGGTTCTTTCTGAGGGAGTGTAATGGTAGGACAAGAGGTAACCGTTTTAAAATGAATGAGGGATGATTTAGATTAGATATTAGGAAGAAATGCTGTATTGTGAGAGTGATGAGGCTCTAGAACAGATATCCCAGAGAAGTTGTGGATGCCCCATCCCTGAAAGTGTTAAAGGATGGGCTGGATGGAGCCCTGAGCGATCTCGTTAACCCCAAGCATCACTTGCCCAGGACTTTGTGCAGACAACTTTTCCATATCTCCAAGGAGAGAGACTCATGATCTCTCCCAGAACAGATCAGACTCAGGGCATGCCAGACAAGTGTTCTGACCACCAAACTATTTATGCACAACTGGCCCTCTTTATCCTTTTATTCCCCTATTCTCCCCAAATCACTTTGGTCCACCCATTTTCCCAACCTTTGTTTTCATTCCTAAACATTCCATAATGAGTCTTTTGCAATCCCAAAATTATTTTCCCCTACATCCCATAGTGGGCTCCAACCACCCTTAGTCCAGAAGGTGATCCAGAGAGTCCTCTGGGTAACATATGATGTGTTTCATAAATGGACAATGGAGGCAATGGTGCTGCTGGGAAAGCCCTGAGAGGGGCCTGGGCAGGGTGTGCTTGTTGTTTGCCTGCTCATCCTCCTCCTCTGGGCTTGTGTATACTCTCCTGGGGTGCTCCTGGGCCCGTCCCAGGATGCGTTGGCCTGTCGATGACCGGTGGCTCCTGACATGGCCTTGGGAGCATCCCAAGAGGGTTTTCTTTGGACTCCCTGTGTCCCTTTGCAGGTGTGCTGACAAGCTTTTGTCACTCACACTGACAGGATCTGTGATTACCTCTGGGTAGCAATGTTGGTAGTGCAGACGTAAGGCAAAAGGCAGAGCTACTAGCAGCATCTCTAAGGATAGCAGGTGGTACAGGATTAATTGTGGAAAAAGGGGACTGTATAATGTTCCAGGAAAAATTATTCCTCTGTACATTCAGAGATATTCAGAGATTGGGGGGGATTAAATTGGTGATACTTGTTTTAGCTATCAAACTTGATTATGTTTCTTACTGCAATTCTTTTACTAAAATGTTACGATGAGGTTTTACCATTTCGTAGTTTCATTTTCATCATCCTGATACCTCAGTGTTTATTCTGTACTTCTGAGCATAATGTTGCAGTATAATCTATAAACAGTATTTTTTTTTTTGCATTTGTCATAAACTACTTTTGTAAGAGCAGTTTTTCTTTTAACTTTTCAGATTATTCAGATTATGAAGACAGTTCTGTTGAATTCTTGGACAGGTGCTCCTCTCCCTTAACCCGGTCGTCGGGCAGCTCCCTGACTTTGCGCAGCATGTTCTCGGATAAGAACACAACCTACCAGTATCCAAGAGCTATTTTGTCTGTTGACCTTAGTGGAGAAAGTAGGTTGGCTGAACAGCAAATTTCAGTTTACATGTTTAATGCTTTAAGAAAGAGAATTAAAAGAAAATAATTCAGTTTATGTTTGGATTGTAACTATAAATATGGCGACTGATTTAACCTTCATCTATTTAAATCAAAATACTCCTCAAGCTGTTCTACATTATACTTGCTTTGGTTAATTGTTGCTACTCTACTTCTGAGGAGAGCACCTTAAAGACATTTTGCAGAATTCATTGTGAAATCTGATATACCAACAGTGTGTTTGAGAGCGATATTTTTTTGCTATATGCAGGTTAAGATTTTTAACTGCCAAAATCCCTGTATTTCTCTGAATTATTGTGCCTCTCTACACACAGTTTCACATGTATTTATTTTTATTAGACCTTTCAGATGTGGAGTTCTTGGACGATTCTTCCACAGAGAGTTTGTTACTTAGTGGTGATGAATACAATCAGGATTTTGATTCAACTAACTTTGAAGAGTCTCAGGATGAAGATGATGCTCTCAATGAAATTGTTAGATGCATTTGTGAACTGGATGAAGAAAATGGCTTTATGATTCAGGTAAAGAAATTTGGTGTGTGGAGTTGCATTTTCCATGGGAATGTTTTGCTCTGAAGGTACCCTTTTGATAAATTTGGAATAAAGTATCCTTTCCCACACAGAAACCATGGCTTCTGTCCCCAGACCATCCCAGTTATCAGCACTTCTGCATTGGCCCTTGTGCTTTACAGTACCACTTGCAGAAACCTCTCTGCTCACTGTAAATGACCCTCAGCTGTGACATTACTCCTCTGCAGAAACTAATATTGTCAGTCCTGTAATGTGTGTGCGTTATCTTTAGAACAGCACATCTCACACTGGATATCACTACCAGGTTTTAAAAACTGCTGAGAATTTAAATCTTAACTTGGTATAGATAAAAGGGAAGAAGAGTATATCATGACAGCATTCAAATGTTGATGGATTGCAACTCCTGCTGCTTATTTATTTATACTCCAATAAGGAGGGCACTTCCCATCTACTAATGAGTAATTTCACGTCTTTTCCTCAAGGCATTTATAATGTAGTGAGTAAATCAGGTGCAAACAACAGTAAGGAAGAACTTGGTTGTCAGTAACTTTAAAAAAGGCATGAATTTCCTGTGGTTTTTTCCCCCCCATTCAGAAAACAGGTTTATGTTCAACTGTGACTGTGGTGCAGCTTCTTTTGAAAGTGTGGAGCTTTTTTAGTCAAGATTTGAAGGAAGCAGGTATGGCTGTCCTGTGTTAGTGGACTTAGTCTTTTGGAAATGACAGAGCCCTGAAAATGAAGGACACAGAGTCTGTGTCTGGGAGCAGAAGTGCTGTGTTGGAGGAACTGAGCAGGAGTTTGGTTTATGGTAATGATGTGGACAAATGGACTGGTGTAGAAATCTTTGGAGAGAGGAGAGGAAGCTGTAGCCATAGTGGTATGGCAGGAGGAAAGGTGACTGGTGTTTTAAATAGGTTGATACTCAAAAGCAAGTCAAAGCAAAGAGGAGAGATTTTTCAGTAGTAAACCAGCAGATATGTAAAACACTGGCAAGCACAGAGTTGAGAAAGGGAAATGTCTTTATAAGAGGTAGTTTCCTGCCTGTTTCTGAAGTCCAGTGACAGCCTGATTTTTTCCTCTTCATGACTTATCTCACCGAGAGCAACCAGTTTGTTGTTTCTAGGCCCTCATTTGCTCTCTTCTGTTTTACTCTTCTGTTCTCTTGTTTCTCCTCTTTCATTTTCTCTTCATTTTCTTTTTCTTTTAGATTTTCCATTGGTACGATATTAAAAGCACATCTTTCTAGCGCACTGGAGAGATGCTTTGTAAATATAAATAATTAAACTGAAGAGTTTTCTACTTTTCACTGTTATGCTGTAATGTATTACATTATCTTTCTACTTTACTGTAATATTATACTCCTGTCTTATGTTTCACTACTAAATATGTAGGTGCTAAAATACTGAATGTTGTAATAAAATATTATTAAATATTACATCTTCAGTTTCTTTTTTTTTCCCCCAGTTTGGAATTTGTGGTTGAGGTAACTTTCAGAACTAGAGCTCTTTTTTTATCTTAATGTCTTTGCCTACCCAAACACAAATTGCCCAACTAAAATGATCATACTCAAACCAGCTATTTAAGTTAAACTGCCATTCTTTGCATTTTGATGATACAAGAAATGGCTCCTGATTTTTTGAATCTACTTATCTCAGATTTAGTTTTTCCTTTTGGTTTTTTTTTCCCCTGATGTCAGTGTGAAGAATGCTTGTGTTGGCAGCACAGTGTATGCATGGGACTGTTGGAGGACAGCATTCCAGATCAGTACATCTGTTACATCTGCAGAGATCCACCAGGTATGGGTAAACCACCTTTATCTGCAGCTCTCTGCTTGGGATTTTTGAGCAGAGATGTTATGCATTGCTTAAATTGTTAAAGCTTTGTCTGTTTTGTGTTATGTGTTTTGCTTCTTTGGGGCGAGTGATTCTAAGTTTGGCTCTCAGCAGAAACTTAACTTTCCGGTTAGAAACATCTTGGTCAGGTGTGCTAAATCTTATTCATGTTGCTTTACATGTTGAAACTGAATTCCCCCAAAACCTTAGCACTTTTTTATGTCTGTGTAGTGCAGGAACTCCCAAACAAATCATTCTTGTTCAGAGATCTGTTTTGCCAATACTTGGAATCACATTTCATGTAAATATTTTTTGGAGAAAAAGGACTCATTACTGCAGTACACTCAAATGTGCTGTGGAAGTAATTTCTTATTAATTACAATTTTATAATGTTTGCATTTGCCCCGAGCTGCGCAAAGGTGTGGCACTGACTCTGTAAAAGATAGAAAAATCTAGCACTTTTTATGGTAAGCAGCAGTGCACAAACAGCACACGTTGAACTTGGTTCAGCTTTTAAGAACTAGGAAAATTCTATTTACTTTTAAACTGAATACATTTGATTAGGAAGGTGTTGATTTCAAAACAGTTCTCTGATAAACCCATTTTTCTTAACGCATATTTGGAGGAAAACTGTACAATTTGGAAGAAAATATTTTGTATTTTTTTCTGACAGGTGATACAAATGCACGTACTTGTCTTCTAGTGAAATATGCAGCACTCCAGCTGTTTCAAAAGGGCAATGAGTCCTCAAATTTACTTTCATTATAAGTTTAAGAAGTGAAATCTGAAAACTGTTTGCAGAGTTTTTATTAGCTGTTTTTGCAAAGAAATATTAGGAAAATAGAGCTGGAAAGATGTGACTTTGTTCCATTTGCCCCAGTCTGAATCTAATCTGGTTGTAGAGAGTCTTGTTTGATAGTTCTGTGTGGTGTCTCTTTGAGCAGTCAAGCTTTTTCTTACTAAACCCAGCGAATTTGTCTTGTGTTCTTTCCCTGCACTGTGCTAGGTACTTCGTTTTCCCCTGCTATGCAGAGTCTGTGTCCCTAATTTTTATCTTCTCTCCCTTCCTAACCATTACTTCTTTTCTTTCTATGTCAGGAGAAAAAAGTCATTCTCAATGTCAGTATTTTAAAGTGTATTGGGATAATGGGCAAAAAGGAGATAGACAGGGTATTCTCCTGAAAGGTATGAAGGGCTTCCATCAACCCATTCTTTGTTCTGTATATGATGATAGTCTGATTTGAAATTGAGTGTAAGATATTTTGGTCAGTCCATTTGGGTTCCTTGTTGTAAACAATAATGTTGCAATAATTAGCATTATGCATTTCTAGTTTGGGGATTTTTTTTTTTTTGTGGGGTTTGTTTTGGTTGTTTGTTTTTTTTTTATTATTGGTTGAATTTGATTGGGTTTTTCAAATAAGCATTGAGTTACTGTAGAAGCATTAGCTAAATATTCATTCATGCTAGTTGGGTTAAGGCTGTAGATGTTACCATGGCATGGGAGACCAAGGGCCCACATACAGCAATACCCTGGTGTCTGGTGAAAGGCACCTCAAAGGAGAATGTTAGAGCTCTGCTGTCAGATAACTTTGTAATATCTGCTTTTGTGAAGCCTTCTCCTGACTTCTAATAAATAGACACTGACTTGAGTATTGAAGCCAAACACTGGTCTTTTAGAAACAAGCTAGGTTTTTTGGATATGTCAGTATAAAATCCACTCTCTAACATTTCTCTTGGTAACTTAGGCTTCCTTTTTCTTACAAAAAAGTAAGCCGCAGTATTTAGATAAATAAAATGCCAATTTAAACTATTTTTTGGTGATTATTTTGATAATAGCACAGTTCTTAATATCATATAATTTGATGGCAGAGGTGATTAGATTTTCATTTCAAATACCATTTAGAGAGATCTTGAGGTTTCAGGCTTATTTTTGTTTTCATACATTTTAAGACTTTCTTCTTAATCCATGAAAACTAAATTTTAATATATTAATAGGAAGATCTTGAGTCATCCTTTCATGGATGTTAGGAGATATTTAGGAGAGTACAGCATATAATTATAGCACTTGAGTTGTAAATGTAATTCTGCTGTGGCTTTAGATGTCCCTCAATTTGTTTATTGCTCACCCCAGGACAGAGGTGGAGTGCCAAATATCTTTATGATAAAGACTGGCTAAACAATGGACACATGTGTGGATTATCATTTTTGAAAGAAAACTACTCTCATCTTAATGCCAAAAAGATTGTGTCAACACATCACCTACTGGCAGATGTTTATGGTGTCACTGAAATACTGCATGGGTTGCAGTTGAAGATCGGGATATTAAAGTAAGTATCAGTGCAAGGTTCATTTTCCAGCTGTAGATATTCAGGTAGCAGAGACTATCATTGTCCCATATACATTTTTCTCTCACATTAGAATTCTTTCTTGTATAATACTTTAAGTACTTCAAGTGCAAGATGTAGAATACCCTCAGCTTCAGTGGGAGTTAGGTGTTCAGAATCCAAGAAGATATGATGTATTGGGATAATTGGTGACTTTTTTTTTTGTCAATTTTATGTTTCAAGGGACATTCTAGATTTATCTTAAATTGATGAGTGACCTACGAATACTTAGTGTTTGATAATGGTGCTTATCAGTAGCTGAGATCTAGCAAAATTGGATGTTTAATAGTTAAGTGCTGTAAGTGGTGCTCTCTGTAACTTGATTTTTTTTCTTCCCCTTCATTGCAGAAATAAACATCACCCAGACCTTCATCTCTGGGCTTATTCAGGGATGCGAAAAGAACAAGAACAAAGAACTGTTGGGGTAGAGAAAAAATTAGTAACTTTACAGGATGCTGTTAATCCAGCTGAAAGGACGTGTCATAGTCAAAACCATAAAGAACCACCCAGTATACCCCTGAAGATGGAAGAAACATACATCACAAGTGAGCACAGTTACCAAAAACCACAGAGTTTTAGTCAAGACTACAAAGCAGTCACTGACCCTATGAGCTCAGATGATGAAGACACAAGTAGTTTTGAGGAAGATCAGGAATTTCACACAGAGAATAAAAACTGTTTACAATATTCTTTTAAAGATGGTGGCATGAGTGAGCAGGTAAGTATCCTCCTTCATCTGGGGAGTTTCTTAGTTGGGCCAGTATGTTCAATCTGATCAAGTTAAAGCATATACAAGTATTTAAAAGTGCAAGTCAACATGTTCTATCAGATAAGTCAGCAGAAAGCACGAGAAGCAAAGTTGGATCACTGAAATAGTTTCAGGTGATGTATATTCATTTCATATACTTCTATACTCAGTCCAGTGTTTTGAGAGGGGGAAAACCCCTTATGCTTAAAATGCAGGGTCTTGGAGCAGAACTTAAGTGGTTTTTGCAAGGTGAGGAAAATGGGATACATTTCCATTTTTCTATCAGTTCTGTTATCTAATGTGGAGGGTTTTTTTGTTAAACTGAGATTTTTAGTAGTGTTTATTATTGTACTGTATTCTTCTTCAATAGCAACACTATCTGGAATGGCTGTTCACAAGTAATAATTTACTGAGAAACTAATTTCACCTCATATGCAACTTCTTTTCTGTCTTTTATATTACATATTTCTTCTAATTAAATGTTTTACAGATTTTTAGCCAGTATTATATTTTGCTATTTAAACATCTCTCTCTCATTTTTACATTAATGGTTTGAATCCTTTATTTGGTGGAAAAGGTCTGAAACTTGTTAGTCTGGTTTTAGTGAAAAGTTCTCTTTGAACAAAAAGCAAAGTGAAACAAACCTTTCTGTTTTCTACAATACCAACTGTGTGAAAATAAATCACCCAACTCATCCCCCTTTTGAAGTACTGTTTCTGGTGTGGAAGAAATGAGTAAGATTCACCTTTTTTTCCTTTGAATTTTAGTTTTAAATGTGGCGTGTAAGCTATATAGTCTGAATGGGAAATTTTTGGCTCATTCTAGTTAGAAATAACTGTATGCTAAATCACAGGACTGTATTTAGTTTGTATAACAAGGAGATGTGCATCAGTGTTAAATACTTTCCTTCAAACAGTAGCTTAAATTGTCATTGTAAACGTTATGAATACATTTAGAATTAAAAGAAAATATATGTGAGTAGTGAAACAATGTTTCCTTCAGAGACTCAAGCACATATCTAAAAAACTAGGTACTTTCTGTTTTAAACCAAGAAGAGATCTGCTTAGGGTAGCGTCAATGTTTTTTCCTTTAGGACACCTTAACTCACCTTGTCAGTAGCCTTGACACTAAAATAAGTCCTTCTGTCTAAACGTGATAGGCATGGAAAACCTCCCCTTGGCATCTCCATGAACCTGTTATGACTTGCCTTAAAAGTGGCATTGAAGGACCATTTTTTGATGATCTGACTTCTCTGTGAGGTGCCGCCTTCACCTCTCCTTGTCAAAGTTTTAGTTAGGGCTTTGAATTCTCCTTTCTAGCATCCTGCAGAGCCTTGAATATTCTGGTTTTCCACACTGTTTTGTCTTAATCTGCATTTCTGTTGCATACCTTCTTTTCTCTTACAAACAGTGTTTGGATTGAGTGTTATCAAGTCCCTTTTTGGAATAGTATTTAGTTTCCTTGGTTTTGCTTCTGAAAGAATAAACCTTCCCCACCTGAACCTTCAGTTTATTTCTTCTTCACAAACTGGATCCTGTACTCTGCTTCTCCTGCCATTGCTCCCTGATTGCCTACATTGATCCCTGTTGGATTTTTTGTTTGTTTTGTTTTTTTTTTTTTTCCCAAGGAGCATTTATTAGCCATTTGAATAAATACAGAGGTCATTAGAAGGAAAAAACCGACTTTTTGATGTTATTTAGAAGTTATTTAGCTTTGAATTTTTTTCTGACTTACTGGACGCATCTGAAAGATGATTTTGGATTTAGAATTATGGACTTGGGCCCTTATACAGCAAGGGAAAAATGTCATTCTTGAGGGTTTAGAGAGGGTCTGAAAATTGTAAGGAATAGAGCTTTTCTTATTTATGTTGGAAATATCTTCTATAAGATTAATAGCAATTTGAATACTCAAAACACTGTGGAGGCAAACCTGATATCTTGAGAGAAGAGAAATTTTATCTGAAAGGTGTGAGAGTTTTGAGGTTTTTATGTCTTTTAAAATCTATCTTTAATACATAACTTTAACTCCTTTAATGAACATTGTGAGTATTAGCAATACTTGTCCCCCACAACTTGCTGATAAAGCTGCCAGCAGGTCAGTCTAAGTTTTATTTGTTTTGGGTTTTTTTAATTGATTTTAAGTCTTAAAAAGAAAGTTGGTGGGTTTTTTTGCTTGAGTAGTAACTTAAAATCCATCAGTCCCTATTTTCTTTTTCTCCTTCTTGACTGGAGGAAGAAGTATTTTGATAACAGACTTAACACCATTATTTTCTTATGTGATGTAGAAAATTAGCTGAGCTCTTCAGAGAAGTATATTAATACAATAAAATTCACTCCTTGCTCTGGCATTTGCCATGAACTGACACTGTGTGAGCACATGTATCCAGCATTCTAGTTCTTCAAATAGAATCTTCAGTAGTGAAAGAACTTCATTGGATATGAAATCATAGTGGATATAAAATGGAAACTGTTAATCCTGCTAATTAATGGAGGTGCCGAATATTTTAACTCGTTAAATCTGGTATGCTTCCTTCCAGTAGCTGAAACATCAAATACAGAAAGATTAGGAGCTTTTGTATTATCTCTGAGTTGCTGTGAAGATACTAATTATTTCAAAGAAGTCAGTCTTCCTCAGATACTGTGTTTGCATAACCCTGTGTGTTACTGTAACTGTCCCCAAACATGTTCAGTTCTGTCCCAGAGCAGGTAGGAGGAGAAGTATTTTGTCTTAATCAGCAAATAGAACAGGTTGCCCAGAGAGGTTGTGAAGTCACTCCCTCACTGGTGATATTCCAGAACCACCTGGACACAATCCTGTGCCATGTGCTCTGGGGTGACCCTGTTGAGCAGGCAGGTTGGACCAGATGACACACTGTGATCCCTTCCGACCTGCCGCATTCTGTGATTCTGTGAATGAAAATGGCCAGCTTATTTGTGCCAGAAAATGACTGTTGACATCTTAGATACTACTGCATTTTAGGAAGTTTTCCTTCATGGAAACAAACTGTAGGATTTTGCACATTTTTGGTGACAGTAGACCCAGGCAGTTCAGCATTTCATGATTTAAGTTGCTGTTTGTATAAGAAGGGCGCAGAAGTGCAGTCTATCTTACTGCATTAAACAAAGTGCTTGAGCTGGTAAACTTTAGCATTAGGGAAATGAGGCAGGAGTTGTATATGCTCATTTGTATGGAATTTGCATTTTGTTTTGTTTGGTCTATTGATGTGTCATGCTATGTGGCTTTTTGAGTATGCTTTTTGTCATGTAGGCAGAAGTACAGTTCTAAGCCAACCTAGTTTATCATGTGACTTAAATGTTGAAATCAACACCAGAAATTAAAACAAAGAAAAAAACCATCTTAAACGGCAATTTTTTTTTCTTTCTGTTGCTCCCATGAAGAAGAATTCTGCTGAAGGAAACACAGTGTTTGTTTGTAATGAAAGAAAAGGCTCAGAAGAACAAGTGGACACACATCTTCAATGGCAGCTAAATCTCCTTACCCACATAGAGAATGTACAGAACGAAGTCACCAGCAGAATGGACCTGATTGAAAAAGAAGTTGATGGTAACTGCATTGCCAGATAATTGTTAATGCCCCTGTAACATCTACCATACCCAATATATTCAAGGGGATCTGAGACACTGAGGATGGATTTTTAAGTATTGTGTTCAAACTTGGGTCCCAGGATTATAAACAGAGCTCGTACCCTTGATCCCCTCACCCCCGTCCATAAGTTTTTAGTGCCCAATAAAGTAGCTTAAGCACTTTATTGTGTTCAGAACCCCTGAGCTCAAAGCTTGTGATATTTGACAGACTTCAGAAAGCTTAGATAACTTATCTGGTCTTTGTCCAGATGTGGATCATGTAGTTGATGAATTTTTCTATGTCTGAAGTGGTTTTTGCATGATTGTTCTGCTAGTCGACAATATTTAGGAAAAAACCCAGATGTGTTCATTTCAGCCTTCAAGTTTGGTTTGGTATATATTAGTAAACAGCTCATTTCATGAAGACAATTCAGTCTTCATGAGAACTTGAATGAAATTACAGTGTAGAAGAATATTACAGCACTTAAGTTTCTATAACTTGCCTGTCATGGAAATCAGGAATGCTAGGAGCTTGTAGTCTAATCATAGGAGTCCTTAATTTTCTTTTGACAAACAAAGTTGTCTTATTTCTATTTGCAGTTTTACTTCCAATATTCCTGCTTTTACTCAGCAGTATTTCTAAGCTAACAGGGTTGACCTTTCCCCTTCTCTGTTTCTACAAGTATAGAAATTCCTTGAAAACATTTGTTGAAGGTTGGACAACCATTCTGTAATCTGGACCTTGACCACAGGAGCTTGTTACAGTGGCACAAGCAAGCCCTGCATTTAAGGGTTGCATTTTCTATTACAGAACTGTCATAGATAGAAGATTGTGAACCAAAGTTGCTTTTATTTGTGTAGATGGTAAATTGTAAGCCAAGAGTATAAGTTACTCCCAGGTACCTTTTTATAGTAACAATCAAATCAGAAGATATGTTTGGATTGTTTAAAATAAACAGGGAATTAGTTGATGTTTCCCTAATAAAAGTTTTTTCAGTGAAATAAATATCACACCCTTGGTGTATTTTTCCCTTGTTACAAAAGACAGAGAGTAAGAAATAAAAGTTTAATTTTTCTGGAAACTGTTTCTTGAAGATTTATTCTAATCGATTTCTTCTTTTCCTTCTGTAGTTTTAGAAAGCTGGCTTGATTTCACTGGAGAACTGGAACCACCAGATCCTCTGGCAAGATTGCCTCAGCTCAAGCGACGTATCAAACAGCTCTTAATTGACATGGGGAAAGTACAGCAAATAGCAACGCTTTGCTCTGTATGACAAAAGGAAGAATAAAGAAATAAAAATAGGTTCTTTACAGTGAATTTTCTTACTAGCCACAAGACTGACAGGAAGGCAGCGAAAAGCTGAGCATTTATCTGGTTCTTTGCTGATTGCGTTAATAGTCTGAAGCTTTAGAAAGAGGAGAGGAAGTTTAGAGTCAGGGATCTGTTATATTGAAAATATTAAAATTTTCAATGGTGTATGATATACTGAGAAATATCAATGTCTCAGGATTTCAACATGTTAAACAAGTAAATCCCCGTATACAAGAAAATTGAACAAAGAAAAACTCTGCAAAGAGCTACTATTTTTAAACCTTTGGCAAACATTTCTAAATTAGCAGAATTCAGCTGACTAAAAATTCAATCCTCTTATCTTACTAGTGAAAGATAGACACAGAGAGATCTGTATTCTCTCTACAAGGAAAGTTTTTAGATTATTTTCTTCTCTCATGAGGTTCAGGAAGATGAACATACTAGCTTTGATTTTTGAAAGAAATTACTTATCATGGTTTCCTTTTGAAAATATTTTTTTACATAGAAATCCCTAGAACAGCACCCCTAGGCTCCTTTAAAACATAAGTGGCAAATACTGGTCAGATGTGCCAAATGATATTAAAACCACTGGAATGAGAGTTCGATTATGACTTACGTGAAGGTTTTTTTCCAAAGTCCTACTCAGTGCCAGCAATCCATCCAAAATTGTATCTAGTTTATATTTTTTTATGTTCTACTGCAGTATTCAGGAGTCAAGGTACAGATTTTGTCCTGGGTAGCTCTATTCTGGTATTGGCCCTCTGAAAACTTCACCATCCTCAGCTGGGATGAGGAATGACGAGAGCAGCAAAACTGTCTGTGGCTGTGAAAATTCTAAACCACTGGAGAAAATATCACAAGATACCTTATCCAAGATGTTTTTTTATAAAATCTTTCAGCTTCAGTAAACGACATGTCATGAAACCAAAGGCAGCCTACTTGCTCTGTTAGCTCTTGCTGGATTTTGAGCCCAGGACTTTTCCTGTGGTTATAAGTTGCCGCTGGATCCAGTGCTACTTACACGTCTGTGTGTGTATGTATGTGTGGACAGACACACATGTACATATATACATACTATATACATTTCTATCTACACATGTCTAGTTTTAGTACAATAGACTATAAGAACTGGTGGTTCATGTTACCTTTTAACAAGCAGTTTCTAAAATTGAAAATAATGTATGTACAGGTTTTGAAATTTGTAAAATATGACTGTTAAAAGGAGGCTATTTAACTGAGGACATTAAGATACTTGAACATTTTATGCCTCACATCTGTTTATCAGTTCTAGTTATCTGTATAAATGCATTTTAGAACCGATAGACAGTAAACTTGAATTTACCTTTTGATAAGAGTACAAGCCACTGTACATTCAAAAATTATTTAAATTTGCAAACACACTGTTCTATATGTAAGGTACTGTATGTAAAACTGTTTATTAAAACTATTCTGCATATTCTACATTTTCCACTTTTCTTCCTGATCTACATATAAATGTAAAAAAGAAGTGATTGTTATTATGTACAGACCATCAAAAAATCTTGGAATGCCTTTTAAGGATACATACAATTGAAAAATGTGCCAAAGATGGATTATCTGGGAAAGACTTTGCAACCATTGCATTGAACTTTCATGATAAAACCATTATTGAGAAAGAAAACAGCGTGACTGGTTCATTGCTAAAATAAACCTACCCTGACCTTTCCTGTTTGTCTATCATATCTGAAGTGAGTTATCACTCCTGATGGCCAAAGCAAAATGTAAATCCCTATTACAGAATGGTTGCTATTTAAAAAATCTTCCCACATCAAGCTTGTAGGAGACATCACAGGGCTGCGTGGTAACATGGAAATATGGAATGGTTGGCAGCTCCATATTGCAGAAGGAACATAAGAGCTGAGGAGCTGTTGATGTTTCATAGCAACTGTTAATAAATAAAATAACTCTGTGTTATATAGTTGATGCTTAAATAACTGCTTCAAACAATATGAATAATTGAGTGACCTACTTGCTTTTGGATATGCGAGACTTTTTGTATACTATTCACTTGCTGCATATCCTTGAATGTGGTACTGTGTGTACTGTATAAGAGAAATGTAAATCCAGATGAGTTACTTTGAAACAAAGTGGAGTGTATTTACAGAATTTATACAGCATACACTGTAGCACTGTTATGGAGTGTGTGTGCACGCATGTGATGTAATATAATTGTAAATGTTACTGAAGGTGGAGGTGGACTTAGATTTCAGTGGAGAGGACAGAGGTTTTACTTTTAGTGCAAAGATGGAGGAATAGTATCCTGAAAAGGAAGTACTAAGGTCGAAGTTGAAGTTGCACTTGCAGCTTTAATGTGTCTTCTGTTTGTATGTGTAATGGCCTCTTAATTTACATGAATATGTAATTTTATCCCTCAAGATCCTGCCTTGTTCAGGATGGACTGTGCTTACAAAAACAATCTGTTCAGTATTTTTTTAATCTTCATTGTGTAGTCATGTATTGTAAAAATTTCTGCAAGCATTCATATCTTCTAGGAAATACAATCTCAGTGTCCATATGGACCATGCTGTGATACATCGTGTACTGCTCAAATGCTTCACAAACTTGTCTGAGTTTGCTTTCTCAAGTTGTGGTGCTGGTCTGTAACATGTGAACTTTAGTTTTTGGCCCCTGTTTCTCAAGTGTTCAGAGGTTTGGGATGCTTTTGAGGTTTTTTTCTTTCAAACACTTACAAGTCAAGTGCCATAAAAATACTAAGTGTTTTGCACAAAATGTAACCTATAGTTGATTGCTTTTCTTGTGTGCCAGTCAACCCTGATGTGATCTGGCTCTTACCAGTATTTCTTCCTAGTTGGCCTTATCAAGAGATTTTTTTTCCTGTAGGCATCATTTTCCATCGGTCTTCCTGCCTCCTCCTAAATAAGCCAGGGACCTACGTTCAGTCTTTTTGTGGCGTTTTTTTCGGGGTATGAGTTGCAACTGTGCTGTTTGCTGGAGAGGGCATACCCTCTCTGTGGCAAAAATAGTATGTGGCAGTGTAAGGACTGTTTTATATACGTGCACAGAGAGGTAAAATGTTTAAATTTACAGCCCTCTTTGACTGAATAGAAGTCCTAAATAGTAACAGACAAAAGGGAAAAGCCATTGTACAGAAGCCTCTTGTGATTTCACAGGGCTAAGTGGCATAGTTGTAGAGCCCTTGAATGCCCAGCTTCTTGTCTGAGGATTGGTGTTTTTGGGGGGTTTTTGTTTTTTTTTTTCTTTAATGGAGTTATCGAGGTGATTTGTTTCAAAGCCTGCTCCTACCTGTGACCAAACTGTAGGCATCTGCATCAGGAACTGTGTGTTTTAATTGCAGTCACTAATGAAACATAGTCTTGGTGGTGTAATCTGGGACAACATGATGGGGCTGCCACATTCTGCTTACAAAACTGAGGTACTTCAGGTCATATGGCAGGGAATGGATTGGAAGATGCTTCCTGCTAACCTTTTCTTGGGTAGCTGTAAGTTGAGTAGTGCCCATATTTTGGATATTCTGGCCTTAGCTGCACAGATCTTTGTTTAGCAGTGGACTGATTTACAGCAGCAGAAGCCTGTCAACCTCTTTCAAAGAGACAAAGAAGGTGGGTTGCAATTTTCTGATAGATTTCTCGTATTTGCTGGGTGGCAGAGAATTGAGACAGTTCTTCCATGGGTGGAGTCTTCTTGTACATCCACCTGTCTCTCTTAATTTTGTCTCTGAGCTTCTGCATGTGCTTCTCATCTGCTTGTTCTGCAGATTGCATCGGTTCCTCTTGTTCTTCAGCTTTCTGTGTCTGACTTCTGTGGTGCCTGGAGGGCTTCATTCCTCTGTTCTCATGCCCAGTTCCTCTGCCTACTGTGGGAAGCAGTCATGGGGAGGGGTCTCCTCTGCTGTTCTGTCCTCAGCCTCCAGTGTGTCCTAGGACTTGTGTGTACCTAGGAGTGTGTGTACCATGATCAAAATCTCAACTGTTTCTGCTGCCTTCCTTAAATAAGCCTCTTCTATCTTGTGCAAGTGCTGATCTCCCTCTGCTCCCATCTGGCTTCTAACTAGACTTGAATTAATATTACAGCAAAACCCCTCTGGCACTGCTGGGCTCCAGCACTCCTTACCAAACTGAGAGTTGGGATGTAAAGGAGTTGTTCAAACATTACAGTAGAACTATAGAATAATTTTGATGTTTGCAGACCACAGCATTTTTCCTTTGTATTTGAAGGGAAACTGCAACCGTTTTTCTTCACTGGAACTTTAAAAGGCACAAAACAGATCCTGAACCGAACTGGAGCTTGATGTAAAAATCAACAAGTAGAGGGTGGGAAGGACTCTGGAGGCAGGGGCTTCATAGCCAGAAGAGCAGTCAGGCCCTCCTGACTGCCTTGCCCGGTTAGTGGCTCTGTGGAGGTGCTGATGTGTAAGGGGGGATGTGTGCAGTGATGCCGTTCGATTGCAAACAGGATGGTTTAGAACACTGGAACTGTAGGTTTTCTCGCTGCTGCTTTAAAATGTTGCAGTATATGAACCTTAATTTTGGAGTGCTTATTGAAGTCAGAGGCTTAATGACTTTTGAAATGCCCATTGCTATTCTCACATTTTATTAGCTGACCATCTTTTTCTGTTGTACTGATTCCATATGGCTTTAGGTGAGCATTTTGCAGAGGCCATTTGAAATGCTTCATTAATGGTTTCTGTTGTACTTTGTTATGTCCTGGGCACTGGGTTTGGGGGGAGTCTGTCTTTAGCAATAAATATTATACACTATGTGTATATCTGTTTATATATGGAAAACAAATACAGAGCATGTAACGATGGTGAAAATACACTGCACGGAGTGCAGATTGTGCATTTGGCAGCCATTCTGCACCAGCCTGAACGACTCTTGAAAAATTGGAGACCATGTGGAGAAAACGAACTAGCGTGTAAAGAATCATTCAGGACTGAATTTCCCTTTCCATCACACTTGGCCTGTGTGTAAGCAGTGGATAAGCCAGCCCTACTCTGTGGGTTGGATAACTAAAGCTAGTTCAGTTGCTGTTTGCTTCAAACAGCAGCCTTCCTTAAAACTGGCCGGAGCCTCGTCTGTTCAGCTGTAGCTCGTTCATCAGTGTATTGTCACTAAACACTCTGAGAGAGGCAGCACTGCACTATGATTAAATCTTCTATGAGAGAAGCAAAATACTTCTGTGATTTGTTTTTTATAATAGCAATAATGTTGACTGCATTCTAATACTCACAATAAAGGTCTGTTGAGATTGTTATGTGCCTGGGCTCCCATTCCATGGACTTTTCTTTTGGAGAGCTAGTGGTTGTTTGAGTATGTTTTAAAGCATTCAGGAATCTTCAGTTGCATGTTTAACCTGTAGTCCATAACTTATGTGCAGTCATTGATACTCATTTGTCTACATTGCAAAGCTTTAATTGTATTTTAGCCTGTAGGCAAATTATACAGTCAGTAAATTATTTTTACAGTACTGAATTAATTACTGTGTAGCTAAGTAAGTGGAAGATTTTTCTATTCCTGAACTGCTTTGGTGTTTAACAATTTCAAGGTTTGAGTTTTGCAATGCACTGGCTTCTTAAAAAACAATGTCTTTTCAGCATGTTCACAGTGATGGCATCTCTTCTTGTGGGCCTTCTAAGGGTGTTTTGTGCCTTTGTACAGTGTCATTTACAAAGTAACTTCAATTTGCTTTTAATGATTTATTTTAATATTGCCCACAAGCTGTTCCGCACTCTGCTGTGGTAGAAAATAAATAAACCAACCATGCTAAGAAGCTTCTTCTCTTAGACATCCTGTGGACCAGGGCACAAATGGCAAGCAGCAGATGAATGAAATTGGACAGAGTCTCAATGAGTTACTGATACAGAAAAATTGTTCTGTTGTTCACATAAAAAAAGATATGATCGTAAATGTAGCCAACTTGAAAATTTTAATTCTGAAACATTTTAGTCATTGTTTAAGGGAGCCTCCCAAAATGGTCTCTCAAATTTAAGGTGTAAGGCCAAATTCAGATCTTGGAGCAATACACCAAAACACTTTTTTTTTTAATTAGCAGAGTTTTTAAAGATGAGGTTTCCCGAGTCAGGCCAACCATCTGGTCAACCCAGTGTCTTATGTGCAGTAGAAACAATGTCATATCTGTACAAATTGGCCTTTCCCTAATTAAATCTTTCACTGCTGTTAAACTGAGGTTTCCCTTACCAAAATTTTTATGAAGTCCATCAGTTTAAACACTCCCTGACAGGCTTGTGCTCCTTGAGTTTAATCCATCTTTTTTCATTGGTGGCTTACTGAATTCACACCTTTGTTGTGTGGCAGGGATTGTGTTTGTCCTTGAACTTCTTTTCTGACTCCATTGGCTCTACACCATTGCCTTCAGTTCAGAGAAGGTTAATTGTTGCATTATTGAAAAGACCCAAAGTAGTTTTGTCCCATCAACACTCAGAGTTTGGCACCCTGTTACTGCCCTTGTGTGACTGGTGGTGACTTTTCTCACTGCATCAGCTTGTGTTTGTCAAACATTCAGTTGATTCAAGGTGCAAATCCTTTGTGTCACTGCAGGTTGCAGATCTGGCTCCTGCTTGGGATTTCAAGCCAACTTGCATCCTAGTTGTTGTGAAAATAAATATTTTTCTACTTTGAATCACTGTGGTACTATTTGATAGAGGACAATTGTATTATCTTCAATGAGTAAGATTTTACCTGGATTTCTCCAGGGACAAATGCAAATTCAAATGTTCTTACGTGGGCTTCTTTAGGTTCTTCTGTCACCAAAGGCATTTTTCTCCTATGCTAAATTATAATTAAAACAATTGACAAGTCCTGTACCCACTTTTCTGATCTAGCCAAGTTTAGCATGGAAGTTATTGGAACTTCCCCATTCTTTCAATTTGAAGAATGTGTCATGTATAAAGTGACTGAAAGGTGTATTATCTGAGGCTGTCATCCTGTCATCTTTTAATTTTGCATCACATGAGGACTTAATAAGAGATGATAAAGATAAGTGCTTCACAAGGTCTTGGAAAGAAATGTACTGACTGTAAACCTTAGTTGTCTATCTGTAAGTGTAATAAATGGTGTTAGTCTTGTTTTTACATAGTTTTCCTAAAATGTGTGAGAGAACTATCTGATATTGGTGCTTTATTTAACACAGAACAATTTATTATTTTTAAATAAATGAACTGATTGATGTGGGCATGATTTCACAGTGTTTTCAGTTCTTAAAATTTTTTGCTTCCAATTTGCTGCCTCATTCAAGAGGCTCCCTCAAGTTTTCTTAAGCTAAGGTTGACTTCTCAGGCTCAAGTTTTATTTGGGTAAGAGTAACTTTTTTATATCTACAGATGTTTGTGTATTCATATACAGGAATCGTTTATCCTTGGGCTTTTTGACATGTAAAAACTGCAGTTGCACAGACCATCTCTTCTGCAAAGAAAGTGTATGCAAAACTGGAACAACGAATAAATCTCTGCTTCTCCCTTGAGGTTTGTGATTTCAGTGTCTCCTCTCACTGATCTTTGTCTTTCCCCCAGCAGTTCTAGTTTGTAGTATAGATTGAGTAGCTTTTACCAATGTGTGCTGTAGCTTTTCCCTCATTTCCAGCACTAGAACAATGATTTTGAAGACATGATAGTTCTAAGGCTTAATGGTCTGGGGACTTTTTCTGCTTACTCCTTTTCTGCCCTTCATTGGTGAGCTAATTTAAGATACTATTCTTTTTTTTCTCAGGTGCTAAAAATAGAGGTAAATTCCATTTTCCCTCCACTGAAGGTCATGCAAAGCTTTTCTTGGTTTGTATTTGTTCAACCACAGACAAGTGCCTCTTTTTCTCTGATGAATGTGAATTGCACGTATTGCTCTGTAAACAATTTTTTTTTTCCTTTTTAATCCATGGGCTATTACATCCCCTTGAACGTGCATGTACCAAGATGCCCACCTTGGTTTGACGCACATCTAGAAGTGGTTTAAGGGATGCAAATTGCCAAAATTCCTTTTCTTACTTTGTTTTTTTAAGAGGTTTCTGAGACTTGGCGGTTCTGCCTAACTCAGAGGTTGTTTTCTGAGTGTTTCAGAAGGAAATAAAAGTCATCTTGGGAACCTACACTATTCAGATATTGTGGATTTGTGCTTCTTTCTGTTAGTAATAGCTCTTTGACACCTTCCTGGGTTCCTGTCTGCCTTAATCCATTATCAGCCTTTTGTAGCAAAGAATAAAAGAGGAAAGTGAGTAGTGACCTTAATAAGCTTGCTTCTCTCCCCTTTTGCTGTGCAAGGAACCTGAATAACACTTTTCTAATAACTTTAGAAAATTGGATTGAATCAGTATCACACACCCAGCACACTCTGGTTGTGTGTTCCATTGTGGTGCCTGTAAGCACAGCTCCTGCTGCCCCTGGAGAGCCTGTGTCACTGGGCTGGGCTGTTTCTGGTTGCTTCCCTGTGTCTGCCCCACTGCATGGGGGTCAGACATGAACCTGATGCTCTTAAAGCACCCTTGAGTCAGAAATATATGTCATGGTCAAACTTTACTTCCTTCCTGATTCAGCCACCCTAATGTTAATAATGGCTATTTCGGCAGATTGCTTTGCTCTGCATGTATTTTCCCTACAAATGCTACGCTAATCCAGAAATTCAGTTTCTGTCTGTGCCTGCTCAGTCAGGGCTGTTACAGGATTTGTTGTCTTTATCCCTCTAAGGGTTGCCATTTTGTGATCTGTCATCTGCATTGGCCATGTTCTTCATCTTTTCTCAGCTTGATCTTTTGGCAAACTATTGACTTTTCTCAAGTCAAGAGTAGGTTGCTTGAAAGTAAATTCCACATATAGTCCCACTCATTTTTAAAAGCCTAGTCATGCTAAATCAAACTCGTGCTGCTGTTTGAGATCATATTTACCATGTACATCAAATCCCATGGCATGGCAGTGGTCTACGGCCCACACAGAAGGATGCTTGGATCACTCTTAGTGTTGGTCTGTAGGGGAGTATCAGTAGATAGAGTTATTTCTAGACTGTCTAGTACCCATGAATCACAAACAAGAGTGCTGCTTTCACTTTTTATTGAAATCCACCCAAATCCAACTTCAAACATGTGCTGTTATTATTTACCTAATTATTTTGGGCTTATTTGTCCAACCACCTTTGTACAAGTGAGGGTCAGTTCTCGTAATTCCTGGTGCAACTAAATGCTGACTCATAAGAGGTGGACAATTGAGAAGTGATACTCTGGAACCAAGGAAATAATATTTCTGACATATTTTAGGTTGAGGATCTTGCATGCAATTAGTATCAAAAAACTTGGCTTAACAAGCTTTATGGTCATATAGATGTTATAGCTGGAGAATAGCCCAAGAAGCAAAGCTGCTTCTGTCAGATTCTTGACTGTGTTAAAGTGCATGGTGCAAATGAGAGTAAAGGCAAAAGACTGAATGTGTTTGACCCTCAATTCACTTCAGTCAATGGAACTGCATCCATCCTGTTTTTCACTTAATAAATAACCACATTATGAATTCTATTTACTCCTAATGCTGCAGCACTCGCAGGCCTAACTCTCACCTGTCCCTCAGCAGGCTCAGGCTCTCTGGGAATGCAAAAAGGTGCACTTCTAATAGTGAGAACAGATACTGTTTGTGCCCCAGTGCAGGTGAGAGCCAGAGCTCTGCCTGGGGTCATGTCAATGTGCTCAATTTGCTTGTTGATGTAACTGAGTCCCCCCCTGCCACCTGCTGTACCTGCTGCCACTTGTTCTCTCCACTGACCTGGCTCAGTCGTGCTCCCTGGAGCGGGGATGAGAACTGGCTGAGGAGAACCACGAGGGCAGTTCAGGTGAACGAACCTCTTGCAGTTTTCTCAGAAGCATCGTGTGCGTCACTCACCCAATTTTATGCCCAGTCTACTAGCACTTGAGTGAACCCATCCATGTGATGGTTGCTATAAAAAGGCAGGTAAAGGCCACACGGGGTGCACAGGGCTGCCTCCCTGACAGAAGGGATGGAGCAATCCCATCGTGAGATGGGATCCATCCCATTTTGCGCCCTTCTTTGCTGCTTTACTAGCATAGTAACAGCCAATATATTTGGTAAGTACTCTTGTTCTTTTCTTCTGCCTGTGTACAGTGGTGACTGTGGTCCTGTGATCTTTGTGCTGCTCTGTGTGTTTTTCTGATGACATATGTGATTATCTTGACTCTTGCCCGCTGCAAACTTAGCTAGTTATTGTATACTGTGGAAACTGAGTCTGGGGTCCAGGTTAAATAATAAACTATAAGGATCTTAAG